TAGTTTATAGAAATATATGGATAGTCTTTTCAAATAGTTTTCTGAATTTGCACATTAAAATATAACTGAAGTATGATTTTGGTTTTACTGGCAATGCAGTGATTATGTTTGAACAGTGACTCCAGATTCATATTTTATTAGTTAGGGTTAACAGTTTGCACATTGAGAAATATGTGCGGGGTTTTGGTCAGATTGTTGTGATTCACATTTTCTCAAGTACCAACCCCGCAATATTTCTCACACATTTCTGGCTAAGTTAAAATGCTGCTTGGAGGAAACTATTCAGGGAGGAAAAAATACTTTGGTATGATTTTGTGCAAATGTCCTATGAACAATTGGTATTTTCTTCCAATTTCTTCCAATTGGTTTTAGCTTGCTTTATGAAATTTTGCTTTTTGTGATTCCTAAAGTCAGAAATGTAGCTTAGAAGCCAGTCATGTATTTTGAGGTGCTTCAGAACTGGCCTATACTCCTATAAACATGGCAATTTCAAAGACTAATTGGATCAATTGACCACCATAACTGGTTACACTTCATTGGTAAATTCACTGGTAATGTTAATCATTGGTAATGTTGCAAGGGAGCAACTACCTTCTTTAGTGACCATTTATGGTTATGAAACTAATGGATATGTAGCTTTATGACCAGTCCTCACATTTATGATCTTTGTAGCTTGTAAAGCAAAGGAAATCTAAAGTGAGATCATAAGCACAATTGCAGTTTTACTTAGCGATCGCTTTACTTAAGACCAAATTGCCAGTTGCAATTCTGGTTGCTATATGAGGACTATCTATGTGTCAATTGCATACACTTTGAAGTATCTGTCCTATGTGTGTGCAAGACAGCTGGGAGGGAGAGATGAAACCTCATCTTCAGTATAGAGTATTTTATTTGTATTTATTTGTCTAGTAAAATTAGGGATGTTGTTTATTTAAATGTGGATTATACAATGCATGTAATTTGAGCAGGAATGTATCAGCTGAATACATACATGTCTCTTTGTGCATATTTGTCTAAATATTTATTTACTTTTTACATTATGAAAATTTCTTTTCAGGGGAAGCCAAATTCTTATTTAGAATTTAGGTTTATTCTTGTACTTAGATACGTGTCTCTGAGCTTCCTCAATTTACATTCTGTAAAATGGGTATGGATGACTGATATGCATTCATTCTCTATGTTCTATTTGTGTCTTTTTTTATCCTCACATGAGGAAATGCATTTTTAAAAATTGGCTGTTTAATAAGAGTGCTCATAGCACACTCTTACAATTCCAAATTTGTTAATTGAATTCAAGGGTCAGCAAACCTCTAAAGTCACATAGACCCAATTTTATGAAAACTAAACCACACCTGAATTCTTTTATCTCTGAAATACCGCTGGAGACATGCACTCTATGTGAATTAACCAAATATAATCATTTTTAAAAACAAGGAAATATAATATCATTATAAACTCTGCCCTGAGTCTCCGGAGAAAGGCGGCATATAAATTGAACTAATAAATAATAAATAAATAAATGCAATTACAATAAAACCAGACATATACACGAAAGAAATAGATGCTGTTTTTATATGGTAAAAATGGTGCACTAATAAGGTTGACAAATGATGTTGAGAGGAGCAAAATATTGTTAATTTGCCAGACCATATCACTTAAGAGTCACATGGCAAAGAACTGAGAAATCAAATGAGAAATTGTTTTTTCTCATTCCTTGATCAGTTTAGCCTTTTCCGGAGCCTCTCCCTCAAAATGGGATGGTGATCAACATTCATTCTTATTTTATTTATGCTGGATTTAAAAGTAATAACCAGAACACTTCAGCAAAAACAGGTATTTCTTGTCTTCTGCTATAATTACTCATTGCTTTAGTCTATTTTTCCTTGAAGTCTCAGGCAAATGAGTAGCGCCGAAGGGTTCCCTTGTCAAATATATATGCAATTTGTTCCTTTAGGAGGGTCAGTTTCCATTCAAAGTGATCCAGATGTTTTTATCTGCCACTGTCAGCACATCTGCTTCTTTTTGCTGTTCAGGAGAACAGCATTCTTCTGATGTTGTTGCAATTTACTTTCTCTTTCCCTAGAGCAGCTGACCCTTGTGGACCTTTGAATGTACTTTGTAGAATAGTCTGGGAAATCCATTGTAAATCAACCACATTTGCTATTCTGCCACTTGAATGCTTGTTTCACTGAAATGATCAGCTGCACATTTCTGCAACAAAGAATAAAGCTACAGCTAGAAGGAAACTGCCTTTTGCCAAGACATTCTCTTCAGAAAAGAAATTGTGCCAGCTTGGAAGGTTTTAGGTCATGCTTGTTTTGGATTGTTTTGTCCAATGAGTCTAGAGGACACCAACTTGGGCTCCACACAGATGTTTTAAAGAGTATATAGGTGGAGGAAAAGGAGTATGCGGAAAAATATATGCATTCAGTGGTGTGGATAGTTAGGAAAATGGAATTGTCTCTTTTACTGCTTTTCAAAGTTCTATTTATTTTAGTTAATAGTTTATATTCTTAGCCTCATAGTGTTTAATCATTCAGTCTATTTTTCATGTTAAAATAAAAAGAATTATTACTAGGGAAAGACACTGAGCTTCTCGATCAGAAAGGTTGGCAGCTCGGCAGTTTGAATCCCTAGTACAGGTCTCCTACATGAAGAGGGGGCTGGAATAGATGACCTCCAAGGTCCATTTCAACTCTGTTACTGTTACTGCTTGCTCAGTCATGAAACTTGCTTATAACTTTACACAAATTGTTGCCTTCAATCTACTGACAGGGCTATTTTGGAGAAAAGACAATAACAATAGGCAGGAAATTACAGAATAACCAATACCACTTCAGACAAATAGTTGTCCAATCTCTTCTTAAAAACCTTCAGTGTTGGAGCATTCACAACTTCTGGAGGCAAGCTTTTCTGCTGATTAATTGTTCTAACTGGGAAGAAATTTCTCCTTAGTTCTAAGATAGTTCTCTCCTTGATTAGTTTCCATCCATTGCTTCTTGTCCTGCCTTCGGGTGCTTTGGAGAATAGATTGAGTCCCTCTTCTTTATGGCAGCCCCTTAGATATTGGAAGACTGTGATTGTGTCACCCCCAGTCTTTCTTTTCATTAAACTAGACATACCCAATTCCATCAACCCATCTTCATATGTTTTAGCATCCAGTCCCCTAATCAACTTTGTTGCTCTTTTCTGCACTCTTTCTAGAGTCTCAACATCTTTTTTATATCATGGCAATCAAAACTGGATGTAATATTCTAAATGTGGTCTTATCAAGGCATTATAAGGGGTATTAACACTTCAATACATAATAGTGTTCGACTAGCAAGAATAGACAAACTCTATAACTTAGAGTCCTCCAGAAATTTGTATCATCTGCAGTTGGCATAGCCAGTGTTGGTTGCAGATAATGAAATTTTATAGTTCCAGATTGGGACCTAGGCTGATTAGGATGAAAGGATCGACATTTTGCTAAATCCTCATTTTTGGGAGGGTTATCTTTATTTGCTTTATTTGGTCCCAATATTTTCTACACATATATATCACCCCATTTCTTCTGATTTGTTTTTTCCTTCATCTATGCCTACATCTTCAAACCTTCTTTATATATATATTTTTTAAATTATTTTTATATGCCGCCCTTCTCTGGAGACTCAGGGTGGCTTACAATGCGTTAAGAAATAGCCTTCATACTTTTATATGTTTTATACAAAGTCAGCTTATTGCCCCCACAAACCGGGTCCTCATTTTACCCATCTTAGAAAGGATGGAAGGCTGAGTCGACCTTGAGCCTGGTGAGAATTGAACTCGCAGTAATATTACGGGAGTTCCCATTCTGGTGCCTTTCAAATATGTTGAATTTTAGCTCTCATAATACTTAAGAGAAGATTGCCTATACTGTAAATTGTGCAATGCAATTTCTATACCAGCATTATTTTACATGCTGCCCTATTGTACTGTGCCCACAGCTTTATGCAATCCATTTTACCACAGAAGCAAGGCCCACTGAGTACAACATAACACATCCATTAGAAGAGAAAGCTTTATTCAGATGAAGGAGACATCCTTATGACTGGTGGGTCACACTATACCAGGCTGGCCACGAATGATGGTCCTAGCATGGACTGTCCCATACAAGTGGAAAGGGCCAGTTTCTGGTCAGCTGCAAGTTAGGTTTTGAGACTGGATCCACCATATGACAAACACTCTTACTTGAACTGAGCAGAGGAAAAATTTCTTTCCAGTTTTTTCTGAGCCCACCGTAAGCTTCCCAAAGTAAAAAGGCTTATGTATATTATTTGCTTCCAAGTTGATTGGGAACAAAAAATATACAGGTAGCCCTCAACTTGCAACTGGTGGCTTAGAACCATTTGAAATTTCAATAGACCTACCTGGGATACTTATGACCCAGATTTGAAGTTCTGATGGTCAGAGACCCTCCCCATGATCACATTTTGAATGCTTGGCAATGCAACCATATTTATGGCCATTTGCAGCATCCCATGTTTCACTACAATTTTACTATAAAATGGCATTTACTTTTGGTTTTTGGCAAAATCAAACCTATAGCATACCAGTTTGCTTAACAACTGTGGCCTTCACTTAATGACTGCCCCAAAAAGATCATAAAAATTAATTTGGTCACATGATCAACCCATTTTACAACCATTATAAATTATAACCATGATGAGCAGTCTCCATTTTGGTTGTAACTCAAGAACTCCCTGTAATTAATATTTTTTATATTTTCTCCATTACCGGGAGTGGGAGTAACGGAGTTGTATCACCTACCTCTGTTTTCCTTTCATATTTGCTTTTTACAATGCTGGAAAGAATACTTTAGGCTAATCCAAAACTCGGAAAAAATACTTGATATGCAGACATATAAAATGAGGGATTGTAACCCTCATTATACAAAGACAAAGAATTGTTTTAAAAATTCTTGGATTATATAAAAGCCATTTGGCATTGGATGCCATAAATAAATTTCATATCTCTTTTAGCTCTGGAACAACTGCTGACAGAACTTGAAGATTTTCTGAAGATTCTAGATAAAGAGAACCTCAGCAGCACAGCTGTAGTCAAAAAAAGTTTTCTGGCTGACCTTCTTCGGCTGTGCACAAAATCAAGCGGTAAGCAAAATCAGGTGAACAATTATTGACTTTGGAAGGTTTATCTTTCTTGCTGGAACTCCAGTCTATCTATTTCTCATTTTTGTTTGAATCTTATTCCCAAATGAGATGTAAAAGGGAAACAAATATCCTTTATCAGCATGAAAACAAACTTATTTATTGGGATATATGTGTTTGAGGACTGGGATCTATTTAATTAGGTGCAAACCTTGTTATCAGTTGCTCAGAATATGTTTACAAATACTACACATTTACAGATGGTGGTGGTGATTAAAAATAGATAAAAATATGATGGAATTTTTGTTCAGTTGTGTTTCTCCTAATTTGCTTTATTTAAGATGACAGCAAAGTCCATACGACTGTGCAATAAAATGTATTCCCTTCCTTTTATTGTAAACATCATAAATTATTTTTATTCACCGAAGTTTGCTAATAAGATTAATTTGCAAAGGATGAATCACTTTACCTTTTGCCCTTTACAAAGTTCTCATTTCCCTATTTCCCTGACAAGATAAATTCTTCAGGAACAAAGTCCAGTAAAGTGCTTCTCATGAGAACAGAGCATCTCTGGGAAAGAAAGAGCAAAATGCTTTTATAACTTGTTTAAAATAGAGTAAAGCACATAAATTAGCTTATCACAACTGCAAGTGCAAGAGTCATGCTGGATAATGACAGTGGGAATGATGGTCCCACACATCATTGGGGATACTGCTGTACATGTACACAAAACAAAATGCAAAGCAGTTCTTTACAGTATTTTTACACTGTAGGTGGTGATGAAGAATACATTTATATGAACAGAGTAACCATTAATAAACTACATGGGGAACCAGAAAAAGCCAACAAAGGTAGGCATCAAATGTTATTATCATTCAAATGTATCTAGAGGGCACCAAGCTTTAAAATAAACTATTCTAGAAACACAAGTATTACCATTCATGTGGTGGTGGGAGATATACTGTGTGATGTCATCAGATTTGGGCTCTTTGATAGATTTGCTATCTTATACTGTGTTCCCCAAAAATAAGACCCTGTCTTATATTTTTTTGAACCCTGAAATAAGTGTTTGGTCTTATTGCCATGCGCTCAAAAGCCTGATTGGATTTATTATCAGGGGATGTCTTATTTTGGGGAAACAGGGTAGTGAAAAATAGATATATACCAAGTATTTTTCTTGTTTGGCTTAATACATTGGCCTAATGGATAATATGAATTGTTGAAAACATATTATTCTTCTATGTTCATTCAGCATCTCTGAATAGCACTTTTTAACTGTATAACATACATACATACCAAAGCACGGGGAACTGCCACATATAGTATGTTCTATTCTGTGACATTAAGATAGATAATGACTGCTTGTGGCCTCTAGGTGGACGGATATTTTGCCTTGAGAAGCTTTTTGTATACATAGATTCTCTTTCTGTGAATACTAAAAAGCTCAGTACATAGACATTGAATAGCATGAGTACTAAAAGTTCCATATGTAGAATGATTCCTTAAATCAGTACATATATCCATCTCTAAAAAAGAGTTGGTTTGATACGTCTTTACTACTTAATCTGTTTTGGTTTTTGCAGCTGCCCCTGCTTGGATTGAGCCTATAACTGATGCCATTTTGGGATTTATAGATGGAAAAATGTAGTCCCTGGTATTTGTCTCTAAGTTGTATAGAAACAGAAAATCTGGGAAGACGTGGGAAGAACAGCAGATGTCTGATTTGTTTGGCTAATAACATTACTATACTATGCATAGTTTGTTTTGCTGCTTCCCTTCTTATGCCAGCAAACTATTAAAAGTTTCAGATGCAGAGCTGTTATTGTGGCTCCTCAGGCTCAATCCCAAAAGAACTGTGGTTCTAACTTTATTTTTAAATTGTACAAGAATGTAACAAAGTTCATGCCAGATTCTTTTCAGCATCTTGGTAACCACTGCTTACCATTTGGGTAGCTATCATCCAACTTTAGAATACTCTTGTTTTCAGCGAAAGTTTTGCTTAGTTTATTTATAGGGATGCTTGAAGTGATTTCAAATATAACCTCTCTGTACATAAAGATAATTTCCAAGTATAGAAATCATTTTCATCTCTCTTATGTCACCGTACCAGAAAATGACAGGTCTGATTCTGTCAGTCTTTTGCAGTATATTATCCTTGTCATATTTTGGAAAATGTCCCTCATGGTTTTTAGATAATCTTGAACACGCTGATAGGAAAACTTAAAGAGAGTTATAGGAGATACATTATAATAGACTAAAAATTGTTTCAGATAGGTTACTGCACCGCAAAGGTTATAAATAGGGAAAATATAATTTGTTTTTTCTGTTCCAGGATAAGCAATTTGGTGTTATTCTCTGTGATTTGCATTTCAGCTTCCATTGGTCCCAGCAAACATGGCCAAATAGGAAATAATTGTGATTGTTGTTAAACTGCTTACATCATGTTTATGCTTATTTATCAACTAAAAATCCTTGAATCCGTTAAAAAATCACAATGTTTGTTGAATTCGGGGAGACAACATCTGATGTTTTAATCTGGTTATAATCATTATGAAATACACTTTTCAGGGATTTTAAACAGGTGTTTTATTCATTTCTTTCCACACACAATCAAACCCCAAAGAATGAAATAGCTTGTTCTGTACCATATTACATTTACAAATTAGCTGAAAATCAGGTGGGCAGAATTTACTCTCCTACCACAACTTTTTCTCAGTAAGGTTTTTCTTCCTTGGACTGAAAAGACTGAATAACCTGGTATTTAAACCATCCTTAGCTACAGTAAGGAAAGGTGAATACTTACAAAATTTGATTTAGGCATCAACTGGGCCTTACAGGTAGATTGATTATTTATAAAGCATCATGGACTTCGCAGTTTTCAATGTTAACTGAAACATTACTGTACGAGTAATTCTGCAACCACCAAAAGTGAATGTCTTGAGCTGTATCATTTTTTCACCATTTTTTGGAGTGAAATCAATTGCCATTTTCGTGGTCTAGACTAAGTAGGCTAATAAATCATATTTTTCTTTCAAAACAAAAGTGAAGCATCTGAGATTATAGCTGAGTATAATTATATGTAATTACCATTTATTTGTTGTGATTTCTCTTTGGATTATGATGTTAGGTTACCAAGATTCCTTGACTAATGGAGAAATGGAGCAGTATTTGTATCCTCCACAGAAAAGTTTGCCAGATCTTCCACATTCAAAAATAGTAAGTCCCTGATATATATTATATATATATATATAATAATATGGATACATTATGTGTTAGAATTTGAAGATCTGAAGTAACCTGCGAGATATATAAATCTGTTGAAGTTCATTGAGCATCAACAAATACTACAAGAAAAAAGAGAAAACTATGCGGGGATATTATTTATTTTTGCCTGAACTGAACTTTCATCTTCGTTGTAAATGTTAAGCAACTAGTGAAAAACATATTTTCATCAATTTCACAGATAGCCCTACCTGAATATTTCCTAGCAATTCTTTTTGCTATTGTTGCCCAGCTGTGTTGATAATTGCCTGACTCTATATAATTGCTGACACTGTATAGCAGCTATTTTTTGTTGACTTAATTATTATACAGAGTATTAGAGAAAATCTCAGTCCTATTGTGTGATCACTTGTTTAATCTTGGCTTCATTTGTCTTTTAAGATTTGTCTTTTAAGAGACGGCTCAGCAAATTAGTTCCTTCTCTTTTTGAGTACTGTAAAATGAGGTTGCATTACTGAGGTCACGGACAGAAGCTCAGGAATGTCATACGTGATGTACTTTGTGCATTAAAAAAGAGAAAACCTGCAAGAAAATATACGTACAGCATGGGCCTAGTGTGGGAGGAAGTGAAAACCTGTGGGTGGTCTGCTGAGGAAATAGCTATGTAAACTGCAGTCAAAGGGTGATGAGACGGATTATTACTGTGAAATCCTACTGCAAGGATTTAGAGTAAGTGATCCCATCAAGGTAACTGGAGAAAGGAAGCCTGAGAAAAGACAGAGACTTTAAGACATACAACTTCATTGTCCAAGTAGTGTTTTTAGTCAATTCAGTGAGTTAGTTATAACTGACTGTTTTTTTGGCTGGTTGGGTAGAATGAGAAGCTGATTTTAGAGACAGCAATTCCCAAATGCTCAATCCATTCTTTCCCCCATACTATTCTTTACTGGTTTTTTTTAAATTACAGTAGATGCTCAAATGTACTGTATATTCAAAGGCTTTTTTCTTAATACAATTTCTTTGAAATTCTGTGCTTTAACAGAGGAGGATCTTGATTGGAGGCAGATTGTTATATCTATGATATGTAAATGCTAATGGTGACTTAACATCTAATTGGCATTTTCACTCAAGCTACAGGTAGATAACCTCTTCTTTCCTCCTTTTCTACTTGTGTTGCTGAAATGCAGCACCCAGCATGTTGGAAGACCTAGTTCAGCAACCTTTTAGCATGTCAGAAGTTGCCTAGCACTGGTCTAGAAGATCAGATCTAGGATCTGGAAATTCAAACTGGAATACATAAGGATTAAATAGTTCAAGCTATTCTATTTAAAGCCATGTGTGTGCACGCATGCACACAGCATTAAATAAGATAGACAACTTTTCTGAGTTTTGGTAAACACATGCTAGCTTTTTATAGTCGTGTTATACCACAACAGCTACAGCTACTTTGGCCTATATACATACTAGCACTTGGTTTTTTTAAAAAAAAATTTTTTCCTAGATTTTATTTATTTATTTATTTTTTAACATTTTATATTTTAAATTACTAACATTACAAACAACATATACAATATTTCACCCTGTGCTATACATAAGAAAGGAAGATTTGGTTCTTCGGATATATCCTCATAATCGCCAAAATCCACATTCTCGGGGTACAGGTACCGAAGCATCCAATTTTCCCAGCGCATAGTCCACAAATGGTTTCCAAATTTTCCAGAAAATATCTTCTTTATAGTCACCATTTCTAATTTTAATATCACATGTCATTTTATCATTTAAAGCTAATTTCCACATTTCACAATACCATTCTTTTATTCTAAAATTCACATCTAATTTCCAATATCTGGCTATTATAATTCTACCCATTATAATCATAATTCTAATCAATTCTTTCTCATATTTTGTTGGTTCTATTTCCTTAATTATCAACAGTAATATAGTTTCTGGTCTCACATACTAGCACTTGTTTGGTGGGAAATATTGCCCATCTCTTGATTTGTAGAAAAGCAAATAAAACAAATAAAGAAAGGCCTTTCACTAGCTGTAAGATTGAGGAGGAAGATTATTTCACTTAAATTCTCTTATTATTTCTAAATTTATTAGGTACTCTACAGCAGAAGCTGTGACGGCAGTATACAATAAATGTATGGATTAAAAATTAACATAAAAATAGTATAAAACAAGAATGAACTAAATAGTTGCTAAAGGAGCAGAGACTAAAACTGGCACTGATTTAGATAAAAGAACCTAATAAACAATCAAAATCTCACAACATGATACTTGATATTGAAAAGACTATAAAGTTGTTGCCTAGGGACTTTGTTTAGGAAAAAAACTCTACCCTTTTAGGGTTGTAGTTGGGAAGAATCTCACATCTTAGATTATGAGATCTATTCTTGCTTCTCTTTTATGCCCTTTCTTATCAACCTTATTTCTAGCTAAGATTTTCTTAAGATTGTAGTTGGTCAATCGCAGTAAATGCCACTAACCATTCTCGGAATTATTTATGTTTCCTGTATTTAATCAAGAGGATAAAAGCATGAAGTGAATCCTGTACACGGTACTTGATTGTTAGGAGCAATTCTGACCATTCCTGTTAACTTCAGAATGGAAATCCCAGGAGCTAAGATTGGATCTGTTTCAAAACAATTCATCAATGAAGGCTTCAGAGAAAGCTCTGGATATTCATAAATAATCAGAAGAGAATTTTACCTGCAAACCTCTTGGTCATTATCAAGACTTTGTTGTGACTGTTTTAAAGAATTGTACTATTTCTGTACACACACACACACACACACACACACACACACACACACACACCAAATAGATCTGAAGAAATGGATCTGAAGACTTGGATCTGAAGAACTGGATCTGAATCACTGTACAGGTTGTTTCTTTCTGCAATGGGCAAATGAGAGAGTTGTTAAGCTTAACTTTGAACAATAAAGCTCAAACAACCCCCACCCCAGGGGTAAAATCCAGCAGGTTCTGACAGGTTCTGGAGAACCAGTAGTGGAAATTTTGAGCAGTTCGGAGAACTGGCAAATACCACCTCTGACTGGCCCCAGAGTGGAGTGGGAATGGAGATTTTGCAATATCCTTCCCCCGGGAGTGGGGAGGGAATGGAGATTTTGCAGTATACTTCCCCTGGAGTGGGGTGGGAATGGAGATTTTGCAGTATCCTTCCCTTGCCATGCCCACCAAGCCATGCCCACCAAGCCACACTATGCCCACCAAGCCACGCCCACAGAACTGGTAGTAAAAAATTTTGGATTTCACCACTGCCCCAACCTTTTATAAACTGCTGTATGCATCTTTCATTAATTCCTTTATACTTATTTAATATTAGGTCATAGGCATTTGTAAATTGTACGTCACATATACATTTGGAAGATCCCTTGTGAGTGTATACTACCTTAGCTTACTTCCTGCAAGTCTGTCTAGAACTTTTTTGAAACACTTTTGTGGTGACAAGGTCTTCGCAGAAATAACTATATTATTAACCATTCATTTCCATGCACGCTATATACTCAATATGAGATATCTTAACCTCAAGTTTTACTTGACTTCAGCTAATGGTAAAAGTGGATTATAGTGGCATTTACAAGATTGGAAGGTTCGTTATAAAGTTAATCTTTGACATCTTGTGCAGAGACTTAAGAGGGAAGAGAAGGGAGACCATGATCCAAACAATATTAAAGTTCACAAAGGAAACAAATAAAATAAATTAGTAGTCATAGCTGGATCATTTTTACTCTAATTTAGAGGAGAAGCAAAGGAGCTGATTGGTTGCTTCTTAGCCAAATCAAAAAAAGGACTCTAGCAGAAATATCTGCCTAGGGACTAACACTATCTGCATTTGAAGTTTGTAACTATGTAGATTATCTACAGAATGTGCCAAACAGATAGGAGCAATATGTGCAGAAATTCCAGTAATGCCTGAGATTCACCAATATCTGATAATTTAGTTTATCTGAGAAATATCCACCCTTTGCTAGGCTGACTAAATGTATGTGTCATGTAAACAAGAAGCTGTTGGTTGATGCAAAGTCATTATAATCACTGCTCAAGTGAAGTGATAACATTAGCAGAGGTTTTTATGAAGTTTTCATAATAAACACCAAGACCAGAAAGTGTGAGTTGTTTAATAGCCATAGAAAGAACTGGATTCCTTCTTTGTGTCCAAAAAAAGAGCTTTTACTTGAACAAAATAAATTTTGGTAAAAATGTGAATGAAACTGAAAGAATAATCTGCCACTAGGTGCTTTTCATGTTTTTTTTTTCTTGAGGAAGAAAAGCAAATAATTCTGTCGCTATAGCAGACCAAATGGGAGCCATCTTACCCACAAATGAATGTTGATTTCAACACCCTTTACTGGGAAAGATAGTAAAGAAAAACATTCATATTGATAGTCAAACGTCTTGAAGATGAGAAATTTGTACAATCTTCAAGCTGCCACAGGGTTCCTCACTGGTAGATGGAAGTTAGTGAAATGGAAATGATGTGGTTCATTTTGATGAAAGACAAGAATGAGTGACAAAGTTCTTTCCTGTTGCCAACTAATCTCTCCTGCACACGGAACAATTAATTAGTTTCTTTCCAATTTTCTGATGGGTGAACAGTATTTCTTATGACAGCATATCCAGGCTATACAAAGCTGGTTTATAAGTAGGGCATCCCTGTTGTTTAGACTTCTTTCAAAAATTACTTATTCCAGTATATTCAGATTCTTTTCTGCTGAGTTGAATTTAGAACATCAAATCACGTTTCTTGCTCAGTGCAACGTTCTAAGTCACAGCCTCTCCTGTGCTATTCTCGAGACCCTGTTTCAACATCCCATGAGGTCCACAACCTTTGTAGCTAATTGGTCTTGCTGTTAGGAAGTGTTTTTCCCCTGAGATTTGATTGCATTTTTTTAAAAAAATCAACTTCTTTTCCTTTTGACTGATAAGAACTCAGTGGCATTAAAATTACAACCTTGACAGAAAAACACTGAAACTTTGATTTGTGGGACAATTAAAGAATCAATAATACATTTAGAAAACAAGGCTCAGAAAAGTAACATAAATAAATAAATAAACCTCCTCTTGCCCATCGTCTTCCCAAATTTCCCCAGATTTTTTTCTTTTGTACTTTCTCATCTGTAAAGCAACAGTAAGTGAGAAAATTTGAGTCAGAAACAAAGGTATTTAAATTAATAAGTAATGTTTATTTTTCAATGCCAGATAATTGTTTAATTTTAGAATGGGGCAGAAAACAATAATCTTCCTGTTCTCAGTTCCAGAACTAATCAGAAAATAGTGATATGTTCCTGGCAGAAAGTAATTAATTGAGCTTTGAACTCATTGAAAGATGAAACAGTTTTTCTCTTACCGCCATCTGATTCCCATTGTTAATGGAAACAATGCAAAAGAATCACTTTCTTTTTGGTCCATTTGAAATTTATTTAATCAAGAACAAAAAGGTTTGTTTTAAGACTGTAGAGCAAGATAAATATTTTAATCTTTCTGGACTTTGTGATAGTGTCTGGTCCTAATGCCAGCTAACAATAAATGTATATCGCAATCAGGTTTCCTCCCTCGATCCAACTACTGAAAAAATAGTTTAATACTCCAGTGTGATTTTTAAGCACTTAAATTATTTAAGTAGGTTTCTAAAGATTGTCCATAAGTACTGTAAAAACTGGATCTTTTTTTTTTTACATTAGCGTTTATTGTTTTCCATTTAACCATTTTTCAAAGGGAGTAAATATTTTACCAAGGGAACAATCAAAAGCAATTGTTTTGTCATTATTTTAAATTAAAGCTTGCCATTTAATATTCTAATTACTTGACATATCCTTACTCATTTATTGGTATTTGAAAGTTAGGGATTGTTGCTTGAAGTCCTTTGGCAAATAGAATATTGATGTGGCTTATCCTTAAATGATATGTATTAGTTCAGTCTAAAATTAATTGGCTGAGATTCATTTTAAAATGAAGTCATTTCAAGGTTTTCAATTTTTAAAGCTGTAGTAATAGTAATGGAATCAGGTGGTCTGATTTGTTTTCTAAACAACAGAAACAGGATTCAAGATAGAGAATTCCAAATGTAAGAGAGTTTACAAATTGGCTTCACAGCATCTCCCATTCCACAGCAAATTGAGTTGGGTCATCTTTATTTTGTTTGTCACCCAAATGTCTGTCTCTCTTTACCCAAACCTGTGCACCCCAAAATTATTTGAATTGCTGACTGATACCAAAGACTGATTGTGCATCCAGACAATTAATTTACACATATGAAAATATTGCAAGGGAAAAGACCACGAATAAAATTTAAACTGCTTCAGGATACAAAAGATACAGGAGGAGCTGCACTCCCTGACTGGGAGATATACTACCAAGCAGCAGTACTATCGTGGGTCAAAGATTGGATAGAATTAAAGGACTCTAGAATTTTAACAATTGAGGGACACGAACTTCAAACTGGCTGGCACTCCTTTATGTGGGATGAGAAATACAAAACACATTCATATTTTAAAACACACACAATAAGGAACTCATTATTACAAATTTGGCTTAAAATTAAAAAACAACATTATATGAAGATACCAAATTGGTTAGTACCGGCAGAATCAATTAGGCACCCGAATTTAACAGATAAGGCAAAAATAATTAGATATAAAGATATAATTGACTATCAAGGCAAATTAAAGACCAAACAACAATTGGAGACAGATTTACACAGAGAAATAGACTGGTGGACTTAAACTCAAATACAATCCAAATACAGAGAACATACAAAAACATACGAAATTTATAATCAAAAACAAGAAATAGATAAAATTATATTAGATTCAGAAAATAAATTAATTAGTAGAATTTATAAATTTCTTTTACGCTATAAATTGGAAGAACAGACAGTCAAAGAAACGATGATTAAGTGGGCTCAAAACATTAAACACACAATACCTTTGGAAAAATGGGAAAAGTTCTGGCAGGTAAACCTAAAATTAACGAAAGCAACGGCGTACAAGGAAAACCAACTGAAAATGTTTTATCGGTGGCATATGTCTCCAACCAGATTGGCAAAAATACAACCTAAAAATAGCCCAATTTGTTGGAAGTGCAAAAAGGCACAAGGGACTTTCTATCATTTATGGTGGACGTGCCCGGCAGCAAAGAAATTTTGGTCCAACATCAAAAAATGGTTGGAACAAATAACAAAAACACAGATTGAAAAAGAACTAGAAACATTTTTATTAGGAATCTTTAACAAATCATACCCTAAGGATATCAAATATCTTACAATTCACATATTAACTGCTGCAAGAATAACCTACGCAAGAAATTGGAACAAGAAAAAATACCAAGTGAAACAGAAGTAATAGGGAAAATTTTAGAATGCGCTGAAATGGATAGGTTAACCAAAGAATTACAAGAAAGAGAAGAATCAGACTATTATAAAATATGGAATAATTGGTATAATTGGTTAAAAATCAGAAATATACAAAAAATATAGGGGATATATTACCGATTGATATATATATATATATATAATAAAAAATATTATTAGATTAAGGAGAGATGAAGGAATATATTATAAGTAGAATTGTAGAACGTCACTCTGAAAAAATGCTTAAGAAGAAATTACACTCTTTTTGTGTATATGTTGTATAAATGTTTGTTGTGTATATGTTACGTATGTCTTTTTTAATATTTATATTTAATAAAAAAAACTATTCTTAAAAAAAAAAGAAAATATTGCAGAAGGAACTATTGAAGGAGGTCTGGCACACAAATATGATCTACCACTCCCAAGAATGCTCATTGCCAAGTAAACCTTCTGATGAATCAAATATTCCAGTCTGTCCTTCCAGCACTGAGAGTTCAAAATGCATTAAAAAATTCCCATCACTGAAATGGTGTTGATGGAGAAGTGTGCAAAGTGAAGTGCAACATTCTAGAACTGGAAGAGCATGATGTACAAATAGATGCATAGATGCATATGGCAGCAAGTTGTAAGCAAAAAGTTATAGAATGAATCTATATTGTATTACTATGGGAAAAGGTTCAGTAAACTTCAGAAATCTCAGGTAAGTTTCTCCAACAGTGCTCAGGGAGTCCTTCTAGGTGATGAAAACAGAGAGCTTGTAGGATATTTTAGTGCAATCCACTTGATTCTTAAGGAAGTGCTAAACTTCTTGGAGATGTAGAAGAGGGGAGCACTGGAAAGCATTCGAGCAGAAGATCATACGTCAGTTATAAGTGGCCACAGAAATGCAATTGTGTCAGCTGAGTGGAGGTATGCACTCACTTATTATAACTCAATATAGTTCTAGATAAAAGATTAGGGTAGATGTCTTTCTCGTAATTTACATAGCAACAAAAGTAGTATTCTAAGGTGCAATTTGTCCTCTCTGTAGTTTATTTGGAAGATGGGTCAAGCTTAATATCCAGTAACTGAAACAACTTTCAAAATGTGCCACAAATTGATGGCATTTGTAAGAAATTAAGTAGTTGGGCAAACCATGGTTCCAGAAAACTTTTTGAATGAACAGGCAAGCTATGGTAACTCAAGGCTCAAGAGAGATCACAACAGATAATAAAATATACCATTTTTAAAAAGAATTCAAACACCATCAGAATGCTATTCAGATGTTTGACACATGATAGCTCAATTATAAAGTCCAAGGAAATTGTATTCCAATGCCTTGTAACAGTCTGGTAATTTGCTGGACAGATATTTTGAATATTGACAGTGTTACAAGATGAGATATTAGCTAAATCAAGAACACCTTAAATTATAAAGAAGGGCATGGGTCATTTTAAATCCTCCAAAATACCTAGTAGACTCACCACAGTACTATATCTTAAAACTGTGATAAAATTCAAGAGTAAGTCACTTTATCAGTGCATCTACATGACAGCAAGATGTAATTTGACTTATTTCTGATAAACAGAATCAGAACAATTGTCTGAATAATCAAACGTCACATTGACGAGGGTTTTTCAGAAAATTCCATTGACTCATATTCAGGAAAAAATATACAAAGTTATAACTGTAGCATTGTTTTGTAACACGACAATGCTTGTCTTTTGTTCTTGGTTTAATATGAAATTTCTTATAACAATAAGTTCTGTGAATGGAATAGATCATGCTTTCATAAGAGAATGTTCCTTTTAATTTTGATGATAGAACATTTAGAACCTGCTTCAAAATGTTTTATCTGCTTATTTCCTATCTTTTATTTATATTGCACAGATTCCAGAATCAAAACTACATTCGGGCCTCAAAAACGAATCTCCAGAAGGGTACTATGAAGAAGCTGAGCCTTACAGTGTTTCTATGAATGGTACATAATTGTATATTTCTAAAGTTTTATTGTTATTTTTTTCAGTTGCAAACTAAAAAGAAAAAAAGTTATTTCTAAAAACAATCAGTTCAATTGCATGGCAGAAGAGATGTACAAAATATAAAATTGCAAATGTGAGATTTACATCTATGATTGTAATACTACTAAGTATATTTTGAAAAAGAACATTAAATGACAGAATTGCCTAAGCTTTATTCAGCTCAATATGATATTGATGCCATTTTAGTTAGATTTTCCCCTTGGTATAATACGTTTTACAGATACCTCTATGGAGGCGTTAAGACTTTATGTATTCATGCTGCATCTTTCTTCTCTATTTAAAATGCATTGCCTCAGCTCTTCAGACAGCATGGGTAGGTTTTTGAGCTAGTTTGACCTTGCCCTGCACATTGATTCTAATGATTGCAGTGCTGAGATCTCCCAAGCTGAGCTGCAACTCTTTGTCAGCATCACAAGTAAATCATGACAATCAATATATGCTATATCCTTCAGAGTACATATTGAATGTTATCTGTTTAGCCTGAATCAGCACCATCTGATTTTATTTGTTCTGATCATGACCATAAAGAGCTTGTTTTAAGTTTTTTTAGAAGACTGATTCTAATTATCACTATATGTGTTAGAGAAATTGTGCTTCCAATTGTTAAACTAATTTAATTCATTGACCAGTGAGATTCATGTTCAGAAGTCTTTCTTTTTCTTCTTCTTCATCTCTCATCATGCAGATCTTTATGTTAAGTTTATGGCTACTGGGACCAGACCAGTGTCCAGGTTATTGAGAGTAATATGTGCTATGTTAACTATGGGTCTGGCATGTTTTAAAATCTGAATATTCATGCCCCAGCTGTCAGTTGTTATGTGAGAGTCTTTCACCAGACTGCCCTCAATCTTATTTTCATTCTTAAAACATATCCATGTTAGGAGCATTAACAAAGAAATAGTACCAGGTATAGATTTTTAAAAGCAATACCTTAATTAGTCATGATCAATTATAACCACTCAGTGCTTCTACGTAGAACATTTTTGCTTTGAAAGAAGCAACTCTCTCCCAGCATTCAGAAGCTCATTCTTGGGGCTTATTGAATTGCAACTGGGGAACAACATGCTGCTCAGAGACTGTAAGTTCTCCTTTCATATTCTAAATTCAAGAGTACAAGAAAACTGATTGGAGATAAAATCAAATGAAAAAAGTCAGAGCTTTGTGTCCACAAGTCTCAGAAGAAGAAGAAGAACATGGTATGAAAATAATTAGATAATCCAATTCATAGCATTCTTCTCTGTGAATACAAGGATAAAATGGCCTTTTTGGGTCCCATATCTTTAACTGTGATTAAATTCAAGGTTAACTCTATCACTGCATCTACATGACAGGAAGATGTAATTTGACTTATTTCTGATAAACAGAATCAGAACAATTCTCTGAATAATCAAACGTCACATTGATGAGGGTTTTTCAGAAAATTTGTCACTGTGAATAGAAAGATAAAATGGCCTTGATTCATCTAGTCAGGCCAATCTTCTGTCAAGAATCCTCACCAGATAACAATGGGCCAAGTGCTTTCTTAAGTGCAGCCTGCCTACAGGATTGTTGTATGGGGAAAGGCCAGAGGACTGAGTATTTGGTGCATTAAGCTTCTAAAGGAAAGGCAATATTTAAATCTAGTAAACAAATTCATAAGTATATTTCATATCTATGGAGATTCTCAGTCATCCAAGGTCATGGTTGCCCCAAAGGTGCTTTTTTCAAGAGGCAACTGGACTTTCTGGTTTTTCTTTGAAGACGTTTCGCTTCTCATCCAAGAAGCTTCTTCAGCTGAAGAGGCTTCTTGGATGAGAAGCGAAACGTCTTCAAAGAAAAACCAGAAAGTCCAGTTGCTTCTTGAAAAAAGCACCTTTGGGACAAGTATATTTCATGTGAACAGTTCAACGCTTCCCTGATAGATAATACAGTGCAACTTATCCATTCAGTCACGTCCAACTATTGGCGATTCTGCGAATCAGGTCTCTCCACACCTTCCAATCATACACTATTTCTTTGAGCTTTTCTATGTTCTGGCTGGTATCAACTTTGATGGTATCCAGCTTCTGCATTCTGTGATACCCTGGTTTCCTTTTACTGTTAACTCTTCCATACAAAATTGCTTTTGCTAATAAATTCCCCTGTATAACATGGAAAAAGTAAGTAAGACACAGATTAGTGATTTTTACCTTCTAGTGATATGACTGGTGATATGCATTCCAGTACTTGCATGTTAGTCGCCTTTGCTGTCCAAGGAATACGCAGGCGCCTTCTTCAGCACCACAGGTCAAACAAATTGATTTTCTTCCTGTCTTGCTTTTTTAAGGTTCAATTCTCACACCCATAGGTAACTACAGAGAACACAATAGAGTGAACCAACCTACATTTGGTTGCCAGGCTGATGTCCTTGCTTTTTCATCTTTGGTCCATGTTCATCACTGCAGTGCAGCCCAGGGCAATCTGACTTTTTATTTCTGTGCTGTGTTCATCACTTTGAGCTATTTGCAATCCTAGGGAAAAAAATGTTTTGAGACATTCTATTTCTTCACCATCAATTTCTATTTTGAGGTTCCCCTTCCTTGCAGCGGTCATGAGCTTGGTCTTTTTGATATTTAGAAAGAGTCCAAAATTCTCACTTTCTTCTTTGATTTTCTTGATCAGATGTTCCAGGCCTTCTTAGTTTCTGAGAGGAGAGTTGTATTGTCAGCATACCAAAGACTGTTGATGTTTCTTCCATCAATCTTTACCCCAATTTTCGATTTGTATGTGTGTTAAGTCTAAATCAGTAGGTTTATTCTCAGTGATTAATAAACATTGATCCTTCTACATAATGAAATGCTACTATGATACAATAAAAAAGTTTTACAGAGAAAAAATCATTTTCTAAATCAAAGGTTACATCTATTAGCATACAGTATGATTTAGTGACATTTCTTCATTTGATATCATTTTACACATCTTCAACTGGCTATATAATAGCAAACATTTGATAATATTTAAAGAATATATCCAAACAGTTTACTTTTCAAGGTGTGTCTATGAAGCTATTGCAAAATAGAAGCCTTAATTGATCCCATTTAAACCCACAAATTGAATGAGGAATTGAGCAAGTCTAGGTCTAATAGTTGATAGGAAGGTGTATAGAATCCAGCCACCATTGAACAGATGGTAAGTTGCTTACTAAAACAAAAATATATTTTCTGGCATGATCTTGGGGTACAACCAGTGGTGGGTTCCTCCTGGTTCCGCCCGGTTCCACCGAGCCTGTAGCGGTGACAATATGATGTCACTGAACCGGTTCTGCCCCCCCAACCCCCAACCCCCGCCCCCTGTGTTATTCTTACCTTTTATTTGGCCCCACCCCCAGTCTATTGCTGCCTCCTGAGTTCCAGCTGATGGCTAGAGGGAAAAAACCTGTTTAAACTCTTGCCATGGGGCATCAAAGGGCCACCTACAGCTGATCAGTGTTAAAAGAAAACAAATGAGTAGACTGGTGCCTGCAAAAATACATGAGTAGATCAGTGCCTGAAAAAAATACATGAGTAGATCAGTGCCTGAAAAAATACATGAATAGTTCAGTGCCTGCAAAAATACATGAGTAGATCAGTGCCTGCAAAAATACATGAGTATATCAATGCCTGCAAAAATAAATGGGTAGACCAGTGCCTGCAAAAATAAATGGGTAGATCAGTACAGCCTGGTAGACCAGTACCTCTGCTAAATCCTAAATAATTGTCACATGACCATCAAGCCACACCCACAAAATAAGCCATGCCCACAAAATAAGCCACGCCCACAGAACCAGTAGTAAAAAAATTTAGAACCCACCCCTGGGTACAACACATTTACTCCCATTGCTGCCTCAGTTTTCTTCTGCTCCAAAAAGAGGAACAAAGTTGTATGTTTAAATATGAGATTCAAGATGACTTCCCAGGAAAAAAATGGCAAACTGAAATGGAGCCAATGTGGCAGAATTAAGAACCAGTGTAGGAGAAGGAGTGGCAGAACCTGAGAGCAGAGTTAAAAGAGAGATCTTAGAATCCCTATGTAACCACAAGTGGACTAAGTCCAACCTTCCCATCGCAAATTCTGTTGACTCTTATCTGATTCCGGGCAGGTGCTAACCATTAGTCAAGAACATTCCTGTGCATAGGCTTTTTAGCAATAAATCAGTGTAATTGGATCTTCCCAAGTATTTTGATTGGACCATGTGATGGACTTGTGGGTGCTGGGCAGGGACTTGGACTTTCCTTTGGGTGGGGAAAACCTGGAAGCTTTCAGATTCGGGTTTTCCCAGATGTGCCAATGTGACATCTCTAATAAAATAGAACTTTGAGGAACTTCAAGCCTCGGAGTCTTCTTTCGTTGGGGGTGTTATTTGGAACCTTGACATTGGGACTGAATAGGTGTCATCTCCCTATCTGTGATCACAAAGCAGTTTATTTCGTACAAGAATAAAAATACAGCTGAAAACTGAAAATATCTTCATGGATTTGTGAAGTAGGAGAGATTGTACAAATCAGAAAGGAGGGCTGTGCAGCTTTGGACTTGATTACAGAAGGGAGCTTTGGGGTATACAGGAGGGTGAACATGGCATCTGTTCATTGCTTCTCAGTTCTGAGAAAAGGCACAACTGCTTTAAAGAACTTCAAAGGATCCTACATTGACATCTTTAGGGAACTCAGTTTGAAATCTCACATCGCTCTGAGAATTATTTGTAGTGTAAATTAGTGTAAAATAATGTAAATAATTTGCAGTGCAAATTTTATCCTACAGGAAAGACACAAAGTCTTTAGCAACAATGAGGACTTATATGGCAATAGTAAAATGGAGGAGGAGGAGGAGGAGGAGGAGGAGGAGGAGGAGGAGGAGGAGGAGCCGAGGTAACGCAGTAGTTAGAGTGCAGTACTGCAGACTATTTCAGCTGACTGCTAGCTGCAGTTCAGCAGGTCGAATCGCACCGGCTCAAGGTTGACTCAGCCTTCCATCCTTCTGAGGTCAGTAAAATGAGGACACAGATTGTTGAGGGCAATATGCTGACTCTGTAAACCACCTAGAGAGGGCTATAAAAGCACTATAAAGCAGTATATAAGTCTAAGTGCTAATACTATTGCTATGATGATATCTATTCAGTCGAATCCGACTCTTGGCAATTCTATAGGCCAGTTTTCTTCCAATCTTGCACTATTTCTTTGTGTTTTTCTATACCCTGGCTGGTGTCAGCTTCGATGGTGTTCAGCCATCATGTTCTTTGAAGGCCTGGTTTCCTTTTACTGCTAACTCTTCCAAACATAATTGCTTTCTCCAGTGAATTCCCCCACATGGCATGGCCAAAGTAAGTGAGGCGCATTTCGCCTTCTAATGACATGACTGGTGTTATGCACTCCAGTGCACTTGATTGTTAGTCACCTTTGCTATAATGTTTTTTCTATGTGTGCCTAAAGCTCATGAAGTAAATATTAGCCCTTTCCCATAAAAATTAAATGCTGGCTTCCACATGAAGAAATGATCAGAGCAAAAATCAGGAAAAAATAGAGTGACATGAAATAAACTTAAACTGTTCATTGCACTATTTGTGCAAGCTAGTCCAAGCAAGTATATGAATGTACTTTTGGTATTGTATCTTCAGACTTTCCTTTTCCTCTATTTCCTGTTTTTTATAATATTCACAGATTTTTTTTTAAAGGAAGTCATTATTTTAATCCAAGATAAGTTATAACTACAGTTCTTTTGTAACTAGTTATCCTGGCTAAAAGTGATGGATATGGAAATCTTAAGACATTTGAAGATCATCAGTTTGCATGATGTAGCAGAACATAGAATTTATAAAAGTGATATATTATGTAACTTCAATCTTTATCTTTACTTCTGTTTATCTTTGTTATTCATCTTGGAATGCTTTGGAGTTTACGTAGTGGAGGAAAGCAAATTCTAATCCCTTTCTAACCTGGATGTAAATGTAATTGTTTCTTTCCCATGGATGCAGATGATGAAGCAGTCAGCAGCTCCTATGAATCCTATGATGAGGACGAGAGCAGTAAAGGCAAGTCAGCCCCTCATCAGTGGCCATCACCTGAAGCATCTATTGAACTTATGAAAGATGCCCGGATCTGTGCTTTTCTCTGGAGAAAGAAATGGTTGGGCCAGTGGGCCAAGCAGCTTTGCATGATTAAAGACAACAGACTGTTGGTAAGTATTTGGTGAGCCAGAAAGTTAGTTTAAAATATGAATTATTCTTGAAGTTTTTCTGTTAAAACTTTAAACACGAAGAATTCAGAAAGGAGAGGTGGCAAATAAATCCAAAAAGTCTATTACATCTACAAACTTGATTCCTCCAGATAAACAAACAAATACTTCTGGGAATCCTATAAGCAGGATGTGAAGGCAACTTTACTTTTTACGATATGTAATTTTCAGATGTTTTGGACTACAAATTTTATTATCCTACCTTTGACAGTCATTTAGTAGGTTATGGAAAGTTTCTTGGTTTTCTGTTGAAATAAGAGCTAATCATACTCAAGACTAGAAGTGTTTGCAGAAGAGCTGTTTGGGCAGATAGGGAGGGAGGAACAGGTATAGTTCATACTATGAGATAGGAAGAAACCACAAATATAGAGCCAAGGTAACCCATGTCATTCCTTACTCTATTCTCTATTCCAATATATTTGCTGAGAAAAGCTTGTGTGGATTATATGTACTCTTGTGGAAGAAGTATAGTATAAAGGAATTCTGTAATTAAGAGATTTTAATGCTTGAGATAAATAACAAGCTGCTTCCCCCTTTCCCATCCCCCAGATATCATTTCAACATTGGTGATGAAAATGTATGCTTGAATACCGATATATCTAAACTTAGTTACATGGCACATGTAAAATTTGTAGTAAATGTGAAGGTTTGTTCCTTCTACTCTTATTGGATAGTTTTAATTCTGTTTTCATTCATTATTTCATGAAACATTTATTTCATAATTTCCACATGAAACGCATGTCAGTTGGCTTTACTTTAAATAAATATTACTTATTACCTGTGGCATACTGTAAATAGCAAGCCTATCTCTAGATATTAGATATTTAGTAAATAGCAAGTCTATTTCTTTAGGTATCGATTTTAGGCACGTCCCCATTAAACATGGCATGAGTTAGCTGTACAAATTCTTCTATCTGAGGTATCTGCCTGTCCATCAGAATAGATAGGGTAGGCATTTTCCAAGTCATTTCCCTTAAATGTTTCCATTTGTGGGTCCTTAGAAGAATGCCTTTTCTTTTGCAATTTCTGTCCTAAGGAGCACCATTGCTCCTGAGACCAGCAGCCTTCCCTCTTTTAACCTTCAGGAGAGCAATTAAGATCTGGCTCTTCCCCCAAGGGTTGCAGCAGGGTGAGTTCAGAGTGGGATGAGACTGTGTTGAGTACCATCTGGGAAGTGCGGTTATGGGGCCTAGTTTTTCTCTTTTTTTCTTTTAGTTTTATCATTTTTTTTGTTTTATGTTTATTCATTGTTTGATTGGTTGTAAGCTACCCAAGAGTTGTTTTAAGATGGGCAGTTGAACAAATGTTTTAAATAATTTTAAAGAAAGTAATAATCTTATTATATTTCTTTTCTTTCCAGTGTTACAAAACTTCCAAAGACCATAGTCCACAGCTGGATGTTAATTTGGTGAGTTGCAGTGTCATTCACAAGGAGAAGAATCTGAGAAAGCAGGAACATAAATTGAAGATCATCCCCATGAATGCAGATGTTATCGTCTTGGGTTTGCAAAGTAAAGACCAAGCAGAACAATGGCTCAGAGTGAGTGGAGCATTTTTTGGAGTGGGAGGCAATGCCTGTTACTCTAGGTGTGGGGATTTGTTGAAGCCACAATTGCAAATGCCAGTACTGAATTTGGCAGCCAGTATTCTTGTGCTTTACCAGTCATGTGATTTAAGGCTCCTCCTTAAACATGCACACAATGCCTTTTGGAAAAGAAACCACATATTTATAAAAAATACTTGATGAGTTCACTGGAGCCCAAGGGCAAATATATGAATTAGAAGAGCAAATCTCCTTGTTAAATTAATATATTTTTGGAGAATTTTCAATAATGTTAATTTAAATTTTATACAAGTAGTCCTCGAATTGTGACCACTCACTCGGCAACCATTTAAAGTTATGATGGCACCAAGTTAATGGTGCTTACAACTGGTCCTCTAAGTTCTAGGTTTACTTACACATTACTGTGCTTCTAAGCTTTTCAAGGGATAAATGTTCAATGTTATGTGGCCATGCCCTTGCTGTTTGATATTTCTGTATTTATTATTTTGATTTTTCTGCATCTGGATCATCTTGATTTTCCATACTGAAGACCTCTGAACTGAAGTTAGCTGTAAAAACACAAGAAAATGCTTAATAATTTATAGTCAAGTAAAAATGTCCAAGTACAAAGCAAGTACACGCTATTTGGTAAATCTTTTAAAAGCACAAGAACACTGGCTGGCAAAGGACCAAGCCTCTGTTTCTAAATTAAACTAACCACAGCAAAAAATACATGTATGCACTCATATTGGTATAACACAGGGTTACTTTGTCCTCCCAAACTGAGGTAATCTTCTATGCCTCTTGTGAGTGGTCAGTATAGTACAGAAACTAAAATCTTTTTCTTCTTCTAATAGGTGAAAGAGGATTTTTTTAAAAAATGTTGTTGGCTCATGTAGTGTTTTGCATCTTGATATCTCTACTGACATGCCCAGAGACTGTTATGTAAGAAATCATTCCTAATTAGAGTAGAACAATGGAGGGGTTTACCCAGCACATCCTCTGATTTGGTGTGCTGTTTATATATGTGTCCTAGGCTTCACTCTCAAGCAGAAGTTTCTGAAACAGCTCGACTTCCCTATCTCTAACTTCAAAATTGCTTTGCTTAAATTGAATTATGCTTCAGTTAAAATTAGCCGAATGCTTTTCGGCACAGAAGAAAATAAAAGCTGTAGATGGTCATAAGACATGAAATTGCTTACATTGTGCTTTTCCCCTCCTAGGTAATCCAAGAAACAAGTGGTCTCTATCCAGAGGGGCCATGTGAAGGAAATCAGTACGTTCCAGACTTCCAGCGGTTCAATAATCCAAAAGTATGTCTTATCTTTTGAAAGGGATGCTTAGAAAGCAGCTCTTAAATCTTCCGTTGCATAATATTTTAAAACTACTTGATTATATAAGGGAAGTAATTCTCACCATCAAAACAGGAAAATGGTTGAAAACTCCAGCTTGTTTTGGAAGCTGCAATTAGAACAGCTTCAAGCGTCTTTCCATCCCTTCACAACAACACTTCTTTGTATCCATTTATCTTCCCAATAAGATGGTTTCAGATTGCTTTTAAAGAGAGCTTCTAGATTTAGTTCTGTTCAAACCCAAATGAAAACATTATATAAAAAAACATTCATTTCCCCCCCCCCTTTTTACAATCCTTTAATCCCTTGTTTCGGGGTGGAGTCAGGGCTACTGAGTGGAGCAGAGCATTTACTGGTCTTTATAACATATATAAAAACTATATATAAACTTTCTTGGACCCCACATATACCCCCACAGAAGCCTAAGGAAAGCATCTGGGATGGGAAACATGGAACAAATGTAGTCAAACATAACCTAGAGGAAAAGGCTACTCTGATGGTAGTAAGGCCTTCTTTCCTACCGGTGAGTCAGCACAGAATTTGCCTTATGGAGTTGTTGATGTTGTTTCAGTTGGAGCTACTATGTTCTGAGCTGCAGAAGAGAAGGGAGTGTTCCCAATAACCTGCTGTGATACATTTGCAAAACAGTTTGCTGATTAAATTGCTTACCTCTCTTCCAATTTGGACTTGTTCTATGAAAGTGATTGATGGTGTTCAGTATCCAAAGATAAGATTTAATTTATGGACCCAACAATTTTTTTTAATGGTGGGAATGGGAGCTAAATGACTCTGGGAGGCAAATCATTAACTCTACAATCCTAGATATTTCCATCCAGCAGAAGAGGTTGAAATAGTACCACTACGTTGTTCCTCTACATTATGCCACTTAATTCAGCTCTGCAGGAGTCTATATGCTTTTAAATATCTACAAGACGCTGCTAGCTCATGTGGAGTTTTAGGGAATGGTCTGATTATTATTATTTGGGTGGTATCTAACTCGCTTTTTTTTTGGGTCAAGGAGTTTTTAAAGTTAACTTTCTGCGTGGCTTGGCTACCGTGAAAAGAGTTTTTCCTCTTAGTTTAATATGATTAGTTCTTCAAAATTCAGAATGAGTTTACATTCAGAATTCTATAATGTTTATGTGTCCCGAAAGGAGCTGTATTTTCCTGGATGTAATGAACATATCTTTCCCCAATAGATTTCTTGCTGGATCATTAAAAAAGAAAGCTATGGTGAATTAAACTGAGAATAAAAGGACATTTCATAAAACGTACTGTTATATTTGTTTATATTTTAATATCAGTATTATAATTAAATGAACATGTTTTTAGCCAATCAACTAATCATTTGGCAAATGTTATGAAAGAGGAAACTTGGTGGAAAGACCAAGTTTCTCCATTCATGTGCCTGGTGCTCCAATCAAGCTGTGTTGCTGTTTGCCTGAAGTCAAATAAAAAAGAAACAACTGTTTATTTAGGGAGGATTTGTAAATCTGATACCATTGCAAGTGCAATAGATACATCAATATTCATACTTTTTCATTGCACCATCCATCATTTTCTCACATTGCTCCAAATACAAAATATAAGCTTCCAACAGGCAGAAGAATTCTTCAACCCAATACTTTATAATTTTCTCAACTTTAGTCATGGAGATTGTTATTTGTTCTTTGCAGGTGGAGCCATCAGAGAGTGGAAGCAACACTGATGGTCACATGGAGCTGGTGGAAACAAAAGATGGTAACGTGACTTTGAATTCAGAAAGTTAGCCCAATTTTCACACCTGAGCCTAATATAAATCCTACCTAAAAATAAGCCTAATTAAGCCCTGGCCACCATCTGGTTGTACGAGGTGGGGTGAGGCGCATGCATAAAAATCAAACTAGGGTGGGGATGAGGGGGTGAAACTGCCCCACATGCCCTGCACCCACTTACCTTAGGACCACTACAGCCAGCCTCCACTGTTGCGCCACTGCCCGACTTCTTCTGCCGCCACTTGTGGCAGGATACCGTGTAGCTCATCGTGCTGGTGCTGCCACTTGCGGCATTATGCCGTGTGGCTCATTGTGCTGGTAATGCCGTTGCAGCAAGACACCATGTGGTACATCGCACCACACATCGCACACATGCAACAGACCAACACACCATGCAGCCTCCTGCTGCAAGCTACAGCACTGGTGCAACGAGCCACACAGTGTCTGGTTGCGAGCAGACACAGAAGAAGGACAGTGGCATGATAGATGTCGGGGCGTGGGAGGCCTGACTGTGTTGGTCCTAAGGTAAGCGGGTAAGACATTCCCTGAACATAAGACCTGGTGTTTATTTTATGCCCCTCTCCCCAAAATAAGATCAGGTCTTATTTTCGGGAAAACACAGTAGTACCTTTCATAGATATTGTGAATTATAATTTTTTTTAAAAAAATTGATTTATATGCCGCTCTTCTCCGGAGACTCAGGACGGCTTACAATGCGTTAAGCAATAGCCTTCATACTTTAGTATATTTATACAAAGTCAGCTTATTGCCCCCACAAACTGGGTCCTCAATTTACCTATCTTAGAAAGGATGGAAGGCTGAGTCAACCTTGAGCCTGGTGAGATTTGAATTTACAGTAATTGCAGACAGCTGGTGTTAATCACAATGCTATTAGTCTGCTGAGCCACCATAATCCCATGACAACTGCAGGGCTCTGGGCAGGAGGAATTTGAATTAGAAGAAGGAAGAGAGAAATTAAAGCAGCTGTCTCTGCTGTATATTGAATTTGCAGATTACCTAGTTGAAATAGAATTGGATAGAAGAGCTTCTCTGCCAAGTTAATTTGTTATCTACATTAATTGAACTGTGTAGCTTCTACCAGGGATAATGTTCTACCTTGTAGAACATAAAACATATGTAAAACTTCCATATACCTGTTTGTCAGTCCAATCTACTACTATTTTGACTAGCAATGGTTGTCCAGAGTTTCGAGCAGAAAGAAATCCTTTATATCCCCTACCTGAATTTTTAATTAAAAACCAAGAATCAAAATGTGGGACTTTCTGTATAAAATGCTTATGCTCTCCTGCTAAGCTATGATCCCTTTTCAAAGGAGGGAATTTGAAAAAAGAAGGCATTATATTGTGATTCCTTCTCAATACAGAGAAAAAAATGTTGCTACTCAGAATAATATCATAAAGAAGAGGCATTTTACCTGAAACTAAATTTCATTTAACATGTTGGAATTTGAAAGGAAGTATATTTTAGATTTGATTATTATCTGGGTATTTTTTTTCTGGAACTGAAGCATTGAAAACAATATCAGTAGGCAGAGGTGGGTTTCAGCAGGTTCTGATCAGCTCTGGAGAATCGGTAGCAGAAATTTTGAGTAGTTCGGAGAACCGGTAGTAAAAATTCTGACTGGCCCCACCCCTATCTATTCTCTGCCTCCCAAGTCCCAGCTGATCGGGAGGAAATGGGGATTTTGCAGTAACCTTCCCCTGGATTGGGGAAAGACATTTTACAGTATCCTTTCCCCTGCCATGCCCACCAAGCCATGCCACGCTCACCAAGCCAGACCTACAGACCAAGTAGTAAAAATTTTTGAAACCCACCACTGTCAGTAGGCCAGAAGCTTGTAGCAGCTTTGTTAAATTGTTGGTCAACTGCAGTAAACCTAACCAGTGAGCTTACATGCCAAGAATATATATGTCAGTTATGTGCTTGCTTACATGAAGTATTGTGCGTATTTATCCCAAGAATTAAAGTTTCACCAAAATGTCAATAAAGGATTTAGTGTAAATACAAACAGAAAAGGAGAACCATAATAAGACCTGGTAAACAACCTCTATTTGCAACAGACCTCATCTGAGTTTTCAGTCATCCCTTGCAGATTATTGTAAAAACCTGATGAGTTTTGCAAATACTTGAAAAAGAATGCTTGCAAATGCTTCCCCCAGTTCCGCAGAAAAAAGGATGGTTCAAATGAAAAGAACTCAGCTTTTAATCACAGAGTCTTTCTCACCTCCCTCCAACCATAACCATGCTTTATCATTTTTTCCTCCTGCCATGTACTCATTAAGTGGCTTTTGTCTCATCCCCAGTCCATATCTGAGGCATTTGAAAATGGTCTCCTCTCCCAACACAATCTTTGCTGTGGACATGATCTGGCACACTTTATTGATGATTTAGCTGATGATGTGGTTTGGAGCTAAGATCTGCTCAGTTTGCTGCTTTAGGCTCCTGTAGGCAGATCCCTTTCCTCTAGTTATTGTGAGTTGTAATCCACAGCCATTTTGGAATAGGGGGCAGATGCCTGCCTTCTGCAGAGTCATCTTCCCTTAGAAAATTTGACTGGAGTTTCTGAAGAGCTGATCCTAAAAACATGCTCCTAGCACACTTCTAAACCTGATTTTTAAACAAGATTACAATTATTTTGAAAGAGTAAACAGGCTGTCCTGGGAGTCAGACAATTGGGTGTATCCTTGCCAGTAGGTGCTCTGAAGGTGTTCGCTGCTACAGTAGATAAGGATTTTATATAGCTGTGGTGTTTTTTTTTTTACTGTTTATTATCATCATTATTTTTGAGGAACAATAGAACTTCCTCCTGACTAGTGAATGTTCCCAGGACCAGAGTTATACAGTGGTAGTTCCTTCATCTGTAACTCCACAGTTACTTATGCTGCATTTGGGAGGGGAAATCTTATTGTTTACTTCATTCTGACTTTGGTGACACTAAGTACTATGGGTAAACAAAATAACACAATTCAAGAAGTCTATGTTGGTACGTAAGTTCTGCATGATCATCCCCCAGCTACTTTCTGCTTTTGCTAATTCTGAGGTTAGAACTGGACTTCTGGTCATTCACTGCATGTACTACTGTTCTCTTGCACTTCTAGTTATGGGATTAAGTTCTCCCACTTCATGCCACATGTTCCTTTGTGCTTTTTAACTATGATTTGCTGTTGTTGTTTTAAATAAGGATTAATGCTGTTTCAAAAGAGCATTATTTCTGCGCACAAAATAGCCTGCTGAACAGCTATCAAATATTTCACCCCTGTGCTCCTCCTCTGTGCTATTATCTTTCAATCTTTTAGAACCCAGATATAGCCATACACAGAAATAGCTTGAGAATAGCTAACAGGCAGAAAAGGTTGTGAGGAGCAAACTCTTTCTGGACGGAGCCCCTGCCACAAGTTGCTAATCCTATTGTTCTAAACTTGTCCCATCCTGTCGTATGGGGATCAGGACGGGTAAGAAAGGGTTAAATACTTGGTGGGCGGGAGATGAATTTGCAGGACCCACTATTTCTGTTCCCTACTTTGGCCACAATAAGTAAGGACCTTGCCAATTAATGGCCTCATTATTGTAGCACAGGGGTGTCAAACTGAACTGGATACAGCCCATATAGGCCATGCTACCCCAGTTCTGCAAGAGCAAAAACAATCCTGATACGTCACAATACAGCCCATGATGCGATCAAGTTTGACACCCCTATTGTAGTAGAATAAGGATCAGCAACAGGGGCAGCACAGTTTATGCTAGACTACTTTTCTGCCAGCTGAAGGGCTGCTGGGTGATGCTTTCATACAATTTTGAGGGAGAGCCTATGCAGACATGAAACAGGTTGGCCTATTTTAGCCCCATCAAAATCCAATTTTATTGATATAGTGGTTCAGAAATTACTTAAAAGATATAAATACTTCAATCCCAGCAGAAAATTATAAGCGTGTATAAACAGTCACATCAGCATATTTTTAGTAGGTTAAAAAGGACAACCTACACATTTGGTGTACAGTGCTATTGCTTACGTTCTATCCAACCTACCTTACAATGGCTCCAGTGACAGCAGGAAACAAATGGTATGAAAAACAAGCTTTGTTTTGTTCCAAGTTGACTTAAAATAGGAGGCATTTTTTCCAACAACACAAGTGTACTTTTCATACCTCCCTTTTTGAATGCTTGCCTCTACAAGTACATATTTCATAATTATCAGGGTAATATCACTCAATCGAGAATAGCTAAATATCTTCAGGCACATAAGTAGGTTATCGTTTCTGTAACCCTTTGCATCCCTTCCAGTATTTCCAAGAAGGAATCAACATCTGGTTCATTATGGCTCCTGTAAAAAACAAGTTTCAAGTTCAGAAAACAACAAAAAATCTTGCTTGTTTTTTAAAATCTTGGATGATCTAAAACTGGTTTGGTTATGCAAATATTCTTCATACTGTTGTGAAGATGGGTCATATATGAAATTGCATCCCATTTTATAATAATCATTTTCTTCAGCCACAGAATTTAATATGTAGCTTTTTTATTTCTTATTTAGCTAAGAAGAAATGCACACCTGGGTTAAAATTTAGCAACCTGATGAATCTTGGGAGAAAGAAGTCTACCTCCATGGACAGTCCAGAAAGATCTTTGGATACCGGCAGTAAGTAACTTTTAAGAAATGTACATACCAGTACTTTTCTGCATTTATTTGAATTGCTGCCACCTGCAGGGAAGACAATCCTAGAGAATGATGCAGAAGATAACTATAGTATAGCCATTGTGACTGGAAAATAATAGAAAGCATGCTTCCAATGCTCTTTTAGATCTTGTAAAAATCCATAGAAGGTATAGTAATATCTTTGGGAGAATTCTGACAGTCATTCTAATGTTCTTGTTGTTGTTTTTGCTCAAAATATAATCCAGTTTTGACCATTGAGCCATAACTTATTTATATAGCATAGGTTGTATTAGGTTGGGGGTTGGAAGATGGATGGTGATGGCTGTGTTTTTATCAATTAATTAGTTACAATAGGTGCTTTTTAATATCAGAATTTGGATCTCAGTTTGTATGGTGGCATGACTAACATGTTCATTGTGTTGTAGGGTTGGAAGCAATGTTAGACAGCTCTTAGTTTAGCACTCTGCCCAGAGCAATAAAATGATGTATGTTAGCATGTTCTTATCCACTGACAAGAGATCATCTCTAGAGGGGATTGAAAAAGTATTCTGGGCTCCATTAAAAAAGAAAATATTATGAGAACAACATTTCTTTCTTCACAGCATATTTAAATGTACTGGTGAACAGCCAATGGAAATCCTACTGGTGCCATGTGAAGGATGGCCAGCTCCATTTTTACCAGGACAAAAACAGAAACAAAGCAGCTCAACCAGCTTTGAACTTGGTGGGGTGTGAAATCATCCCAGACCCAAGCCCTGACCACATCTATTCATTTCGTATCCTGCACAAGGGTGAAGAATTGGCCATGTTAGAGGTATGGATGTCATTCTCTCCAGAAGCTGGTAAACACAGTTTAGTAGCCATTCATAGCAACCTATCACAATGCTGTGTTGGAACTTGTTTAAAGCTTCCTTTCTTTGCATAGAGCCTATTTAAATAACTTACATTACCTATCCACAGTTTATTTCATTGAGTAGCATAGAAACATAATACAAAAAGCACGAGAGAAAGAGAAAGAGCAAAATGAACTTTTAATTTGTTTTCCTTACACTTCAGCCAAATTAATCCAGAAAGTAATTTATAGTGAGAAAATAATACCTGTAATTTTAGGTGAAGCACTGTAATTAAAGTAGCAACTATAGTGTAATTTTAAACAGTAGGAAAATAACACTAGCAATAAGTCCTCAATATTTGAATTCCCAGAAAGAGATGCAGGGCACAGCAGTATTGAACCATTTTTCCCTTTAAGGATTATTCTCTTGAAGAAAATCTTTGGGTTATGATGCTGGTATAATAACAGGGTCAAAACTTAGAGTAAGCAGGACTCTTTGTGTCCTTTTTTCTTATTCTCCCCTTTCTTTCTTGTTTTATGGGTTCATTGGCCTCCTAGAGGTCCCTACTGTTGAAGTCTATAGAAATCTTAAGCTTTTTTTCATTTATTGGCCGTATATATTTCCTCTCTATATTTGGCAATGCCTAAAATAATACTTCTTGTTAGATCTGTGAGGAAAAAAATCTGTTGAGCACTACATCAGCAGTTTTATAGTTCAATAAGTCAACTGTGCATTCAAAAATAAATAAATATGAATCAAATGATTCCTTGTCCAGAACCTTTTGTTCTACCTCCCACTATTCACTTTTTATTTGTTTTTTTAAATTTTTTTAAAAAGTTCAGGCTGAGAGCCCAACTTCTTTTCTCCATGTTGACTGTTTCCACCCTAGCTCCACTTCCAAAGGGCATATTTTCTCTCTTACTCAGGCCTACAAACACAAAAAGGAAACAAAGTTCTTAAATTTATAACATAGGAATTATATTGTGAGATCAAGAATGCTGGAGGGAAGGGTAAAAAAGGAACAAAAGTAAAACAACTGTGGGAGTATCTAAAATTAGGCCAAGGTTCGCAGGCTGTGCACAGATTGCAAGATATATAATGTAGTTAGCTGGTGCAGCTTTACCTTATGTACACAGTTTACATTAAAACAATTTGAGTACTGTCAGCAATATTCATTCTCCCCTTTCTAGAGTTCTGCTCCAAGTATTATAGTATCTACATTATATATGGGGATGTATAGTATAAATCCAAATTTCATCTTCTAATTCTAATCTTGTAACTTCCATTTTTTTGAATGTACAAGTAATAAAATGCAATCTTAATCTCCTATAATCTCCCTTGATTTTTCCTGGAGGAAAAGTTGATTTGAAAAACAAGTTGCTTACTTCTATTATTTTCACTCAGAGTTGTTTTTTCTTTGTTTATTGCTAATCTTAGATTCTCTGACATCAGCAACATTTGAGTAGTAGGAGGAAAATGTGACAAATTTCCTACATTTTGTAGTGGGAGGCATGTTTTCAGCGAAGGGTAGGATTGCCAGAGCCTCTGAGTATTGTTTTGTTTTTAGCAGTCAAATTGCTGAGTATGATGGAGCCAGAATAAGGGCGACTTCAACAGTTATTTCAAACTAGTTTCATTCACAAAGTTAATTTGGATACAGCAGTTTAGTTCAAGGCAACTAGAAATTATAAAATCATTTCTCATAGATTTTTCATGGTGCTTACTGAATATTTTCCATAGGCATCCATAGGCTCACGCAAACCCTGTTACTTATGGGTGACATCCAATATCAGAATACAAATACAAAAAGCTGGTGTCTGTATCATGTTGCATGTTACTGCATTTTTTTTTCTTGATTTTAGAGGTAGCCTATGACGCTTTCCATCATGTTTCACCACCAAATTTCAGTATTTATTTTAGCACCCGTCTGGTACAGAAATGTTTAGAAAATCAAATTGGTGCCATCTTCTGGGGAAAAAGAGAAAGATCTTTAGATGAAATGCTTTTTTGAATTTCTGGCACTTTTTTTCCCCTGGGCAGCTAAAGACTCACTTATTATTCAGGACAAATCCTACCTTGAATATAGAATTTTCACAAATATTTAAATAATTAAATGTTTATATGGGTCTGTGAATCATTGAATTTCAAGCATGAATGATTTCCTGTCCATGGGATTTGGGCAGAACATAATTTCTTAACTTTTTTCTCCCACCCAAACCCTGTTTTCTGTTAAGTAAGAACAATGAGCAAATTTGTGTCTATTCAGCCAAATAGTTCGAGTCTTAAGAAAATATTATTGAGACATTGATGAGTGGAGAAAGGTACAAAAATTGCCTTTTCTTCTGCTTACTTCCTACTTTTGTTTAGATTCAAGCCATTGGATTTGTAGAGACCACTGATTAGAGATTCACTAAACCGCTAATTAGAAGAGGTTTGAACTATAGGTATAACAATTGGTTCTATTTTCATCTATTTAATAGACAAAGTCTTCTGAAGAAATGGGCCACTGGCTTGGTGTCCTTTTGTCAGAATCTGGCTCTAAAACGGATCCCGAGGAGCTTACTTATGATTACGTTGATGCTGACAGAATTTCCTGCATTGTCTCTGCAGCAAAAAACTCATTATTGTAAGTTACTATGCTAGCATTCAGAATCTGTTTTCTTTTGGTGGTTTACTAGTATATTTATTGATTCTGCTAAATAAGAGTTTGGGGGGGGGAAGGGTTGTTTTTGTGTTTGGAAAATAATCAGTGCAAATTTCAGTAGGATTTTTACTACTTGTAGAAAGAAACAGTTGGAAGAGAACAAACACTACTATGTAAATATATCCCATATATGACACATTCAGATGAAATTGTTATACTGAAGGAAAAGAAAGAAAGAAAAATATCTGAATGATTACTTTCCATATTATGTCCCAAAAGGTAACCTTTGAATGACAAGAAAAAGAGAAATTGGACAGGGAGAAAATCCTATTTTCCCACTGTTTTAAGGAAAATATGTGGGGAAAACAAATGAATGAAAATACAAATTGTTGTATTTATCTGAAATACAATTGTGTTTATCTCATTTATTTATTTGATTTCTATAGCCACCCATTTCTTTAACTTTTCAACCTAAAGCCTACCAAATATTTTGAGACTGAAACATTTGGAATCAAAATTAAAATTCTTGGAAAACTGTAGTGGACCCCTTGTTGCATGATTACACAGGTGTGTGACATACATGGCCTCTTGCTGATAGGAACCAGTGTTTTGGTCTTTGTTGTACACTGCTTCATTGAACTCTTACATGGTAACTGCTTCATTGGACTGCAAAGTCTTGGGAGTCTGGTAGAAGATGGAAGTCAGGAGCAATGGCCACATCCAAAGATAGACAGTAACTATCAGGATTTAAGAGTTATCACTGCTCGTGGTGCTTTGAAACTCTATGACAGCATGTTTGCTTTCATGTTTTTCAGCTTAATGCAAAGAAAGCACTCTGAACCCAACACTTATATTGACAACCTGCCAAAGAGAATGGGAAACCAAGAAGATCTGTATGATGATGTGGACATTCCAGAGGCTACTATGGTGAGATTTTTTGCAGAACTGGCTAGTTTGTTTATCATTCTAAAGCAGCAATCATTGAATTTTGGAGAGGGGGGATTGCAAAGTGATTTTTTTTTGTCAGTAATATTTTTTTAAAATTGTGCTGGATTGCTATTATAAATTCATGAATGAATGTAAAACCACATTACTAAACAAGGTGTAACCATGCTGAATTCACATTGTCAAATAGACGTTTCTTATTCTAAGCAGAATATTCTTCCTTAAGTGAAATTATTATTCGGAACATTCCATCTTTTACAGGATGCTATGCCTCCAAATGAAAGTAAATGTGAAGGAGAACAAGACAGAGTCTATCTAGACCTCACTCCAATGAAATCCTTGCTGCATGGAGCTACCTCAAAGCAGGGTCAGTCTACTCCTTCGGTGTCTCCACCTTTACAAAGATCTATGAGCAAGAGCTCGGTGGACTTTGAGAAAGACTCAGCCATGGTGCAAAAAGAACCAGAACTAAACAGAATTGCAATGGAAATTCCAGAGCAGGTACTATAGAGCAACAAAGTTTTATGTATTCTTACAATACCCTTCTCGAGATTGACATGTTCCACACATGCTAGATCGGAAGTTCTCTATATTTTTAGGTAGTATGGCCATCTGGAATAATAGAAATTGAAATACAAAGATAGCAGGTAATGGGAAATGCAACTGTTTAATGTTTTGGATTGCCATTGTCAGTGATAGAACAATCTAATCTCATGCGAAGGAGATAAATAATATTCTATCGTTTTCTGGAGGTTCTGAAATGGATTTTGGACAAAACAGATGAAATGATACCATTTGATGATCCTGAAGGGAAAGAGATAGATACCGGTAGCAAAAACCAAACTACTGTCCTTTTCCTAGTTTGAAAGGATATACTTACAGTAAAGGGTGTTGTACATGTTACAAGGAGCTAGTATCAGTAGAAGGTGAGCTTGGAGCCTTTTTATAGCCTTTGAGGCACTGAGTCAGATCATAGTATTATCAGAAGTAAAGCTAGTACAAGCTTCTGTATGTAAAGCTTATACAGGTACTGTCAGGTTATGTTGGTAATTGAGACCATAATTTCTGTTGCTAAACTATCTAGTCATAAAGCACATTGTCACTTAACTTAGCAACAGAAAACCCATCAGCCCGCATCTGTCACTAACTGAATCCCACTGGTTGTTAAACAAGATCTAAGACATTCTGCCTAACCCCAAGTCTGAGCAAGGTAAGACACTGCCTTCTCTTGAACACTTCTGAGAAAAACTCACAAGAAGACTATAGCTGCCATTCTCCAAATCATGCGTGCTCCTCTCATGATGTTTCAGAAGACTAATTTGACCTTTCTAAAGCATCATGAGAGGGGTGTACATGATTTGGAGAATGGGGTGTGCAGTCTTGGGGAGAAGGCCTTGTGCAACCAGCAGCTGCCTTTCATAGCAGCAAGCTGGGTGCTCCTCAATAGCAGAAGGAAGAAGACAGTCACTGTCAATTGGGCAGCTGGGGCTCTGTGTTGGGCTTGAGGCACCATCAGCAGCACAAGCAGCACTGGAGCTGAAGCTTGGGGCAGTGACATCCAGATGTGACAGCTGAAGGCCCCAGGCCTCTACTTTAGTCCCAGTGCTGCTGGCTCCACCATTGCTTCCCAGGAGTCCTGCTATGCAGGGTAGCCAAAAGTGCAGAGATTGAAGGTAAATAGGCAGGTGGGGAAATTGAAGTGTCCCTGCAGTTGTAAATGCAGGTGGGCTGCCAAGTGCCTGAATTTTGATCATGTGATCATGCGGGTACTACAACTGCCCTAACTTTAAGGAGTGGATGTAAATAACTTTCAATGCCACTCAACGTTAACCTCAAACATTAACCAAGGACTACCCATAGTACTATTTACATCCTGTGTAACAATTCTGGTTGTCATTAACCTATAACCTTGCTAGGTTCAAAGGTTCTTTTTTTAAACAAATCCAAGGCTTTCAAATCATTTTTACAGACTCAGCAATGTACTTTTGCTACATCTATGGAATCTCCAAATTGTTCCTTCTTTAAAGAAAGATAGTCTTATTCCTAGAATTAGTTATGTTCTTAACTTATTTTAACAAATTTTCTGAACTGAGAGTTACACTTTGCTGCAGGTCACTCTCCAAAAAATAGTGTATGCAGCTTGGACAAAATTGGACTTTTTTCTTTTACAGCTCCTTTAAATTAAACATAGTTCAGATGACATACTTTCTAGTCATGTATTTAAACATTTTCTTCTTTCATATTAAATATTACAATTAATAAGCATTTTGTAGGCAACGGTTTCCTTAGGAATTCAGATGCTACCTCTCTGTTCTCAATGGTGGTCTGGACAATTCATTTATTTTTTTAGATTTTTAAAAAAATTGTATTTATTATTGTTTACAAATAACTCAAGGTGGCAAACATCCCTAGTACTACTTTCCCCTCCCAGTTTCCCTACAGTAAGAGAAAGTGAGGTGAGTTGGGTTGAAAGAGAGTGACTGCCTTACCCAGCTGGCTTTAATGCTTAGGGCAGGATTAGAACTCAGTCTCCTGGTTTCTGATGCCTTAACCACTAGACCAAACTGGCTCTTCTCATCTTATTTCTCGAACAGAGGCCTCCAGACATAGATGAGCTGCCACCTCCATGGACAGGTACAATAAAAATCCAGACACAACAACAGCAAATTATATTTCCTCAGAGTGACCCCAGTGTGGTTATGGCTGCACCAAAGGAAAAAACAGAAAAGCCCAAAGTGATGAATCCAGGTAGGTATGGTGACAGCAGTAGTATCTCTTTCATTCAAGTTTTTATTGTGCAGTTGGATCATCTCTATTTATGGCCACACTTGGTTAAGTCATAAACCTGCTGTAGCATAGCCCATAACAATTATGGGCTAATTGTTAGTGAGGATTTAGTGAACAGCTGGCTAATTTGGGACATCTTTTATTATTTCCCTGATACCTTCTTAATTTACTGGCTTTCTCTCTCCTGCATGACAACAGGCTAGGACAGAGTTCTTCTACCTAATGGTTACAGAAGGCTTTTGTAGTCAGCTCAGGTTTTTTTGGGATCTGAGCTCTTCAAGTAGCTCAGTAGATAAATTAGATCTGCTGTCACTCTTTTTTTTTCAATTGTATTTAACCATTGTATTAGTGTTTGTAGTTTCTGTCACTGGGAAAGATTCCTGCACTAAGAGAGTGTAACTAAATTCACAGCCCCTGTAGAAACAAAACTAGGCAAGAATAGGACAGAAGCTGAAGTGAAGCGATATTCAGAGGAGAGAGACCGTTTGGAGAAAGACAAAGAAGAAATCCGCTCTCAGCTGGCAAAGCTTCGAAAAGAGAAAAGGGAGCTGAAAGAGATGATGATGAACTGCTCAGGTAAACTTCCTTTGCTCGTCTTATTTTCATTCCCTGGTGCTTGGCATAAAACAGGAAATCATTTTAAGCATTAAATGATGTGATTATGTTTTAAGAGACTGCTGGATGATGGCTAAGTTATCAGCAGGTTCTTGCCTTGTGTGATGTTGCTTCTTCAGAAGAAAAGTTTCATATAATCTTCTGGAGAATAATAGATATACTATTTTGATTCATTTGATAAGTAGGTCTTCTTTTCTCCACAATTGTCCCTAACCTTTCCCTCGTAAACAAAACAAATTTTATTGTTTTTTTTTCTGTCCTATAACAAAAAAATTGAAGGGAAGGAAAGGATAAGACACCAGAAAAGAAATCCATGGAGACATAGATAGATGAGATAGATCATAGACAGATAGATAGATAGATAGATAGATAGATAGATAGATAGATAGATAGATGAGAGAGAGATAGTTGATTGTATTTTGTATATCCCTATTCTTCCCTTGGCAGATAAGAATAAGTTGTCTACAATGGAACAGAAGCTAAAAGAGATAGAAGAAGAGTGTAAGAAGAAAGAAGATCAGCGTGTTGACTTGGAGTTAAGACTTGTTGAAGCAAAAGAGAATCTCAGGAAAGCAGAGTCTGGTCCAGTTACACTTGGCACCACAGTGGATACCACACACATGGAAAACGCAAGTCCCAAAGTATGTAGCCTGTTACTTGTTCATATACAGTATGTGTGAAGCAAGAGTTCTGTGATTGAATCTTTTCTCATACTTTAAAAAACTTAATAGTTAATAGTGTAGGCCTTCAATTCACAACAAGAGCTTTTGCTTCACTGATATTGTAAGACTTACAGTACTCATATGGCTCATTAGTACTTTGGCCAAAATTGGAAAGAATTCTAGCTTAATTCTTGCTACATGAAAGCACAACACCAGAATCAGTTGTTTCCATAAATTGCCAAGACCGGATGCAACATTAATTTATACTCTACACTCTACACTCCACACTCCACATATCTATAACCTAAAGATTCCATGAACTCTGATCTGCAACTGATAAAATTTAATTTAAATAGTAAAGTTTGTGTGATCACTGTTCTCTTTTTCCCCTAAATATAGATGAAAGTTGCTAATCCTACGAATAACCCAGAAAATTCACCTGTCAATTCAGCAGTGGCATTAAAAAACCGTCCTTTATCTGTCATGGTCACAGGGAAAGGAACAGTTTTGCAGAAAGCAAAGGTAAGGCATCTAAGAAGCATAACCACTGGAATTATGTAGCAAAACAAAAACAAAACCCACCAATTTGGCATTCCAGGTTTGGTAGGTCATGACAATTGGTAGTAGCACCTGGATGAGAGACCACCAGGAAATATCAGGTCTGTAGATTATGTGAAGAAATAAAGTAAACAAAAACGCTATATAAAGTAATTGCAACTTCACACGCTAATAAGCACTTTTTTCTTCCTTTTCTTTGCAGGAATGGGAAAAGAAAGGTGCTAGTTAGGAAATCCTAGCCTCAAGAAAAGACTGAAGATTCAAATTGGTTCTTTGTGGACTACAGAAGCCTACTGCCAGTAGCAAAAATGTCCAGATGAAGAAAGCATGGCAAGTGGGGAACTGTATCATACTGTCTGGAAGAAACAATGGACCTTGGCCAGATGCCAGCATGGCCTTCCTTAGACTAAGGCTGTTGCTCCTTTTAGCAGACTTGCACTGTGTAGCTAGGACAGATAACCCAAATGGAAACAGTACTTCTAACCTTACTGGTATCCTGAAACTGTTGCTGTACATAAGGAAGCTTTTGTCTACTTTTAGTATGGTGTTTTATCACTGTACAGTCTAGGATTTGTCGTTAAAATGACTTTTAGTTGGACCTGTTTAATATTACTGTAGCATACCAAGGCATGACAGGAGACAGAGGAGGTAAAGTTGAGCTTCACATCAGCCATTTCTTTAGGAGAGAAGTTTTCTTAATCAATGGTGCAAATTTGAATGATACTTCTATGGAATTCCAATTAAATGCAGCTGTTCTGCCCAACATAACATCCACAGGAGAAAGTATTAGGTGCTCAAGTTCAAAGTTCATCTGGCACACCAACCTTATTCACCTAATTTCAGATTAGGTGACCTATTGCTCAGCATAATGACCTTATATGATCCATGGATTTCAACATGCCATTTATTTTATTAAATAATTTTATTACACCAGTATGGTATGATGGTTAAGGCATCAGGCTAGAAATTAGGGGACTGTGAGCCCTAACCCTGCCTTAGGCATAAGGCCAGCTGGGTAACCTTGGGCCAGTCACTCTCTCATAGCCCTAGAAAGGAAGCACTGGCGAACCACTTCATCTTGGCCAGTGGTGGGTTGCCCCGGTTCACACTGGTTCTATAGAACCAGTAGTAAAACCGGCAGGAAGATCCGCCCCGACATCATCAAAACACTTCTGCACATGCACAGAAGTTTCTGTGTACGCGGAGAAGAGCGTGCGTGTGGCCCCACTGCAAACCGGTAGTAAAGGTAAATAGAACCCACCCCTAATCTTGGCAAGAAAACTGCAAGCATTAGTTGCCAGGAGTTCATACTGAATCAAAAGCACAAATAAAAATCTACTTTATTTACACAGCAAATCATATATATATATATGCAATATTTGTTTTTCTTTCTTTTATATATATGCAGATTTAATCCACAGGATACAGGGATCTGTCCTGATCCCTGTGCATGACTATGAGCTTTACCTTTGGAAAAATAACACCGATGAGTTCCTTCTTTAAACACTTGTAGTTGTGCACATTTAAAGATGTAATATATAAAATGTGTCTAAGGCAAGGGATGATTCCAGTGCACTTTAGGGACAGTAATACTTCAAGATAGGAACTAAGCATCAGCTACGTGTCTTTGTATTCTCTGAGGTCAGTTTCATTGCTTGCAGAAATGAATCTAATGTAAACACATAAACATGATTTGGGGGAGAAAGGAATTTCACTCTTTTTAATAAAGAAAGTATAATTAGAGCAAAGTAGGAAGAATCTTATAATTATTTTGCTGCCTGAAGGAAAGAACTACTGTACAAGGAGCCTTTCCACCCTGTATAATTCCATGCAGAAAAACTTAAATTCTGATATGTTGTTGAGTAGCACTGAGGGCAGTAAATTAGCTTAGGAGGCGTATAGTGAGTATACATGGAGTCATACAGCATTATCTCTTCTCCCTCCACTATGTTCCTCCAGGGTCTGCTGCTTCATTGTACAATATTGGAGCTGGATGTAGGAATTGATGTATTAAGTTCAGGAAGATGCAACAGAAATTCTCATTTAAAGTTAGCATGGATTCTTCACCGAACATACCAGAGTCTATATTTTATTCTTGAATAGGAGTAATTTTTCATGATATATGAACAGAAAGCATCATTGCTAGGAAGCTACTGTCAGGAAAGTACTAAAACGATTTAGTGGGCTTTTGATATCTGAGCACCATTCCAGACAATCATGAAACTGTGCAATAGATGTGCCATATTAATTATTTGCTTGTTGCAGGAACTACAGACATCAGGTTTCCCATTATGATGGGCCAAAAGCATTGCATTGCCTTGGTAACAAAAGCATCATTTGTCACAAAGAAAATATCAAGGCTCTAAATCAGGGGTGTCCAACTTTGGCAACATTGTGGACTTCAATTCCCAGAATTCCCCAGACAATCACAGGTCTTAAAGTTGCCAAGGTTAGACACCATTGCTTTAGATAATGCTTATAGCGATAGATGTTTCTATACTGATTGGCTAGCATTCATGAAGTCAGTGACAATCCTACTGCTCTACCCTGTGCCTGGGTTATTTTACAGCATCTTAGCCAGAACTCTTTCTCTTCCGAACTATATATGTGGGCTGCTCCTTCCATCAGAAGCCCTTTGCTCATATATGTATACAATTTCAATTCTAAGAATACATCTAAGGATTTGACTGGCTTATCATATATTTATTTTTAGGCATCTAAAACACAAATATTTCTTGTTGGATTACATCAGGAAGTAGTCTGAAAAAGTGGTTGGAAAGTTGGAATTAGCAGCAGAAATAAATCTCCAGCAGTCTTCAACTGTTCAACTGTTGTTTGTAATCCTGTATGGTTCTTTGATAACCTGAATGACCACAAATGTAAATGCTACAGATGTTTAAGGACTTTGTCATATTCAAGTAAGAATATCTTTTAGGTTTGCCATCTAAGTAGCCATCTAAGGCTACCTAAGGTTATCTAAGGCTTTGTATTAGTATATGAGAGTGGCATTTTATAGACAACGTGCAGATTTAGGGATTGCAGGACTGTTTAAAAAAAGGAGATTGGATCCAACCAGTTGAAGAAAGACAGGTAGTTCATTAATGAAACCTAAGACTGCTCCTGTATATATGCCTCCAGTGCCAGTAAACAGTGTTTTGTGATGTCTGTATCACATGTTAGTGTAAGCAAATATTGATGTGTTAGAGCAGGGCTATCAAACTCCCGGCCCACGAGCCAGATGATCACATGCTGGCCATGCCCCCACCCAGTTTAGCAAAGGGCGAAAAAGTCCCGATACCTTATGACACCACCGTGACGACATGAGTTTGACAGCCCTGTGTTAGAGTGAGTTAAAATGCTGTGAAACTTTGAAGCCCTGACAACTAGAAGCATCAATAGAAAAGGTACTAGAGGAGTAGCAACTGACTCATTTATTCCACTCAGTTCAAATAGGTCACTTCAGACCATAAAGTTGTGTGACTCAACCAAAGTACTATGGCTGATTGTGTCAGCCAAAACAGAGGAATTCAAATCAGATCCAAAGCTTTCTTTTAAATAACTGTAGAACTGTTATTATTATGTTCCTAGCTTTAAAAAAAAACTTTATTGTACAAGTGTCTTTTTTGTCAGTTGCCATTTCGGATAAATCATTTTTAAATAAAAGTGTTGGCTGTATTTTAAATGTGTATTTGTTTTTCATTTTCATCATTACATTGTTGAGCTAACAGTTTCCATTGAATGTCTGGTTTTATGTAAGCCTATGAAATTGAACTTTTCAACTTTCTACAAGGAACAGTTATTAACCTATTCCAAAATCCTTTCAGGGAGCCTCACATTTTTTTTATGTGCATTCATGGTATGATATGTTCTTGTCCTGTAGGGGACACCCTTGTAGCATTTTTTAATAGAATGCATTAATAATAAATTTTTACTGACTATAAAAAGATTCAAGGATTCTTGAGGTACATGAATTATATAGAAAAGATAAATGCTAATTCAGAGTAGCCTGAGCAACCTTACATTAAAAATGCATACTTCAAGGGAGTGATTTTAACAGCCATAGGTTGATACATAGTTTTCCTGTTCCCAAGATGGCAACTATAAAGTGCTTCGTACTAGTTAGTTTAATAACTACTAGTTCCATTATTAATAATCAGTCCATACCATAGAGGAATTGGGGGGAGGGTTGTAACCTGCAGTTCTCATATGTAAAACTTTCTGGGATTTAAACTTAACAGTCCACAAGCCAAATTGTCGCTATGACTAATAAACACTCAAAAGTTAATTATATGTGGTCTAAAGCAATCACAGATACTTTGGTCCTCGCTGAGTTTGATTACCTAAAAAGATCCATTGCTAGAGTCTTACATTATAGGATATGAAATCAAATGTATCAGTATAACCAGTGGTGAAATCCTACCAGTTCTGTCCAGCTTGCGCAAACCAGTAGCGGTGGCAGCACAAGGCTCCGCCCACCTACCCAGACATCATTAAAACCAGGAAGTAACCCGTTTTTGATCCTCTGCGCATGTGCAGAAGGCTTTGCGCATGTGCAGAAGGCTTTGCGCATGTGCAGGTGGTCAAAAATTGGATGTGACGATGGCATTCGCACTTCCGAACCGGTAGGGAAGGTAAGTAGATTTCACCCCTGAGTATAACCCCTTCAAACATTGATATTCTCTGCTCCAGGAGAGCAGAGAATATCTTGGAAGCTTTGAAAAACATTGAACTATTCCTGATTTGTTCTCAGCAAAGTTACAAACAGCATTTCCAGAATCTTTCAAAACTTTCCAGATTTTGGGTAGCTTTGAACTGGGTTGTCATGTATTTCTAGAATTAGAACAATATTTGTAGCCCAGCCGCAATAGCTATTGTTTTAAGTAGATGTGTTCACTTTTTTCCACCATATTCCAAATCCAGTAAGAACTATATTTCGGATGCACAAATACATACCTAAAATTATGGATTGTTTTTTCATATAGTTTATGAAAACTATATGAAAACTATTAAACACAGAAAATATCTGATACAGGTAGTCCTTGACTTACAACCATTCATTAAGTGACTTTTCAAAGTTACAATGACACTGAAAATTAACTTAAAACTAGTCTTGCAGTTATAGCTGTCACAGCATTTTCACAGTCATGTGATCAAAATTTAAGTCAACTTGGCAACCAATGCCATCATATATTTATGACAGTTGTAGCATACCGGGCTCACATGATTGCCATTTGCAATCTTCCTTGTTGGCTTTTGACAAGCAAAGTCAGTGGGAGAAGCTGTATTTGCTTAATGACCATGAGATTCTTTTAACAACCATGCCAAGAAAGGTTGTAAACTCCGGTGCAATTCACTTAACAACCTCCTTGCTTAGTAATGGAAATTCTGGTTTGAGGTGTAGTCTTAAGACAAGGACTACCTATAGCATGCTCTATATAATTTGCACTTCATAATTCCAGTATAATTATACGTTGGCATGTGAATTGTAAGAACATTTTCAAAAGTAAGACAATTTAAATTACTCCTTAATTTGGAATCTGTGCTCAGCTGAGAAAAGTTTGTCTCAATGTTCTTTTGAGACAATCTAATGCAATTTGTTGGGGATTTGATCTCTGTAAATCAATTGCATTTATTAATCATGGAATATAAGCATGTTGCACAGTAAAAGGAGTAGATAGATGGGAAAGAAATGTTTATCTGGTGCATATATATTCCGTATTGCTAACGCAGAAGTGTTCCCTGCAGGTGGGTTTTTCATTTTTTGAAATTTGGTATTCCCTTGGAAATCTAACCAGAATTCCCTCTTTGAAAATGTTTGTGTCTGTCATCTGTACCTTATTTTTAAAAATACTAATAAGCTTCTAAATCAGTGTTTCTTAACCTTGACAATCTTAAGACTTCAGGGCTTCAACTTCTAGAATTGAAGTTGAGCTAAGTTGGCTGAGGTATCCTGGGAGTTAAAGTCATTGGGTTGTTAAATAGGTCACCATGTGACTACATCCAATTTTACGACTTTTTTGCAGTAGTAGTGAAGCAAAAGCAATAGTGGTTAAGTGAATATGGCAGTTATTAAACAAATCCTTTTTATTCAAAGGGTGGCGCTTTTTTTAACCAGAAAATGGAAATAAATGCCAGAAATTAGAAAAATGAATGAATGAATAAATAAATGAATGAATGATCATGTGACCACAGGATGCTGAAAACAACTGTAAATGCAAGCCAGTTGCTAAATGCCATAATGTGATTGTCTGACAACAGGGAGTATGTGTGGCTATCAGAATTTAGGAATCAGGTTGTAAATTCCTTCTGGAGGAGTCCATCATAATCTAATAGTTGTTAAGCAAGGCCTACCTATAACCATAGTATCACGAACATAGTTTTGACCTGGAATGCACTTCATGGCGCAATATGAGTCAGCCCAACCATTAAGGAGAGTGCTATTGCCCACCTCATATTTTGCTCCCTTTTATTGGCTCCATGGAAGCTACATAACCTGTGCTAACCTGTCCTACTTTAAGTAGTCAGCCCTTACCTCTGTGACATGAAAGCTTTGTTTGCCACACCAACACACAACAGACAAAAAACCTGCCACCTTCTCATTTCAGGTAACAAGAACCTGCTTCAATTCATTAATGTACACATTTTTAAATCAAAGTTTGAGGAATCCAGTTGGAGGAAACCACAGCACTGTGTCTCTAGCCAAATAATGATCATAATATAGAATTTCTCTCCATCCCTTCCCATCACTGCTCCAATTCTAGTGAGACACAGAGGGAATTGGTATGAAATGAGTATTCCTACAAGAAATAATTTTTTGTCAGTTTAGAGCTCAGACCTGCTGTCTCTCAGCTCCAACTTCTTTGTATTCACTCCTGATGTTATTATCACTCATCAGCATATTAAAAAAAAACAATTTATGTTGTCTTACCACACAGTGGACCCACATATCAAATGACTGCAGCATGTTAAATATTTATTAAACATACCAACATGAATTGCTGACGCTTTTGATCTGCAAACGGGTTATTCAAGCAAAAATGACTCTATGTACTCTTTTTATTCCCACATAAGGGAAATGCAATAAGTGGGGAAGAGAATCAGAATCAGCAGAAAAGAACCCCTGAAAGCTTAGCAGCTGCCTTTCTGAACAATATAAAATCTTCATTGGCTTACTTGTAAAAAAAAAAAGATGCAGACTTTTACGAATAATGCTATTTCTATAATAAAAGAAAGCCTGTGAGATGGATACACTGCTTAGCTAATTTAGGATGAAATCATAAAACCTTTTAGTGATGAGTAAACCTACACTGATGGGATTTACTTTGGAGCAGACACATATAGGATTGCAGGGCTAGATAGCAAACTATTATCTAGGGAGCTCTAAAATAGATTGGTAGCAGTTACAAAATAACTTGCCTTCCTGATATATAATTCCTGAAGGATTTCTTGCCAAATAATGTTCATAATACAGAATTTCTCTCTATCCCTTCCCATCACTGCTCCAATTCTACATCACCCGTATTTATATGTTTCTCACTAAATCAGCCTTTTTTAATTTGATCACTTTCTGAGTATTCTTCAGTGAATTAGGGAATTTGGTACTGTAGTCACTACATTTTACCAGGCAAAAGCTTTAGCACAACTTTTAACTGGGGCAGCTAAGGGACCATATTCTAGCTTTAATCTCTTGGGATCTGTTCAGTCAAGATTCTAAAAATAAGTTTTTGAAGCTTGATACTTCAAATGCATCTCAAATGCATCTCTTAGGCTTGGAAGAAGGCAGATCAGACTAAAGAATCTGGCTAGTAATAGCAATAGCACTTAAATTTATATACCTGTTCATAGTGCTTTATAGCCCCCTCTAAGCGGTTTAGAGAGTCAGCATATTGCCCCCAACAATTCAATTATTGGCTTAAACTTATCTATCAGCCCACTGGGCTGTACTCTGTTTCCAGTGATATTTTGCCCATTTTTTTCTAAGTACCAAAAAGAATGAATCAAAGAGGCATGGTTCCCTACATTTTCTCCCTGATCCTACTATCAAACTATCAACTATCAAAGTTGTTCTTTCAGCACTGTTAAGGAGAAATATTATAGACTCCCTGTGGCTCTCCATTTCTGCTCTTGTAGCACTCAAGAAGTAGAATCAATAATGTATGTTCTTTTATACTGCAGTTTAATGCAATGTTGCATCAGGATCGTATTTTTTTTCTCTTCTACCAGCAATACCTGGAGAATCAGCCAGTTACCATGTTGAATGCCTACTCACAAATTAGATTTTTATATAACCTACAATGTTAGAGAGCTTTGTAATCTAGCATCTCACAACTTTGGCAGGGAACTCACAGTAAGATTTCAGAGGATTCTTATAAAGGTTTATTTATTTATTTGACTTCCCCCCCCTTTTTTTAATCTTATCTTTATTTGCTAGCCATCATAAATAAAAATGGATAAATTTACTATAATTTTGGATGTGGGTGGAAGCCAGCAAGTTAGATGATTTTTAAAATGGGAACAGACAAATTTATAGAGAATGTGTCTATCAATGTTACTACTATTTCACTGTACTCTACCATCTCTGGCTTCGCAGTCAGTGTATTTTATATATCAATTGCTAGAAAACAACAGTGAAATGGTGCTATATCCATATTTTATGTTTGAGAGTTACTTCAAATCAGTTTTGGATTGCTATATAACAAAGAAAGCTAGATTAGATAATCATATCTGAGTTCTCATCATAACTTCTACAAATTCTGGCTTTTGGTCTTTAACTATAATTCTGGACAGTTAAAGCTGTTTCGGTATCTTCAATTGTGGAAGCATTTATAGAATCCAGGGACATCATATTTGAGCTGGAAAAAAACAAGATTATCTCTAGGTAGCAGCATAGAAATAGTCTTCTGTATTTATCTTTTTGCTGTCATTAGTGGTTGTCCAACCAAGACATGGTATACCTAGTTTATATTATAAAACAAATTTCAAGATAGCTAAACAGTTAGAATTCACAGCTGTATAAAGGCACTTTGGTTTGCATATGGAGAACTGAAACATATAATACCTATTACAAGTATCATTAACTATACATTCTGCTTCCTTTTCCTCCACCAAAATACCATTATACAATGTGCTATAAAATAAATGCAATTTCTTTGTTACCTTGGAGATAAAAGATGGTAAGCAAAAGTAAGAAAAGATTATGTACTCATCTAGATGAATAGTTTGTTTCACTGAATTGAGGCATAATCAATAAATTCACACATTTGGCAGCTAGTTTGCTTCTCATGTATGTTTCCATTTGTACTACAGCAAAGTTGCACTGTTAATATTTGTTCTCTTAGCTACAATTTCAGCATGCCAGCAATGAACAATCTCTTCCATTATAACACAAGTCAAACTCATGTTTATCAGAGGACTTTTGGGACACTACAATCCTTCTTCTCTGATTGATTAGATGGCAGATGATACTTTTTATAAAATCATAGGACTTAATTAATGAAACCATTAGGAAAAAATAGCAGTAACCACAGATAGTTCCTTTTGCAGTTAATGGTAAACTTGGCACGCCCCCAAAATGCTAAAAAATGGTTGGAAATGGGAATCTATTTTATTCCTGCTTTGGTCAAAGGGATAGAACTTCCCAATTAAAGGACAAAAACTAAAGGAATTGCAGTTGGAATTGGGAGGAAAGAATAGACCAGCCATGTAAAACCATGGATACAAGCCATTATCTTTGGTGAATGATAGGGGTTTGCCAATCTCTAAAATCTTATATAAACCAGTAGATCTGGAGGTCATTAAAGGGCTAAAACGTGCCTTAATTGTATTCATCCTGTATATTTGGAAATAAAGTCAGGTTTCACAAAATCAGTTTTCAGGGATCAAATCTGGGTAAGTATTGTGTATGAAAGCTTCTCACTTGTTATAGTCATATATAGCAATATAAATATAGCTTTTGTAAGCCATGTCAGAGCTTGTCAATTTGTACTACTGTTAAACTTGGATTTATGGCAATCATTATATAGAGGTAACGTTGAAAAAAATAGTATATCGAACATAAATATGCAATATAAAAATATGCTATATTATTAGTCACCTTATTTTTGATTACAATAAGATACTTTTGTGCAAAACTTTTGTGCTTAGAAACAGCATACTGCTTGCAAATGTATATTCCGCTTCCCTGAAAAGTATGATTTCAGTAACTAAAGGCAAAAGTTCTTTTGTCCATTTTAGTGCATCTACTCCATGTGTCTTTTTTTCTTTTTCTTTTTTAAATACTGGTGAATTCTGTATAGCAGCCCCAAACATCTCAATTTAGATGAGTATGGATCATTGCAGGATGTTTCCATGATTGTGAAGTGTCACTGCTTCGAATTCCTGTATTTTAAAAAAGGAAAAGTAAACCTTATTATTAGTTCTCACAGCCAAGTACTGAGTGCCTATTCTTTTATGCATTCACAACCTAATTAATTTATTAACAAAATATAGGTTACATTACAAGATCTATTAGGAGCCTTAAAAGAACTTTAGAGAGACATGAATTCCAACAGAAGAGAATATGTGTAGCTCAGTGGCCCTTGGTGTTCTCTGAGTGCACTGATGATGTTACCTTGTTGGGTAATAAATCTAGAGGAAAACAACTAAGCTCAAAAAGCACTAAGGGTCCCATATGACTTCAGGTAAACATGAGCTACGTTTTCCATACTGAGCTCTTTTGCGATCAAATCTTTAAAATATTAGGAATCACCTTTACTAGAATAATATTGCAGAGCAGTGGTGGGTTCTTCCCGGTTCGGTCCGGTTCAGCCGAGCCGGTAGCGGTGACGATATGACATCACCGAACCGGTTCTCCCCCCGCCCACCCTCCACCCCCCCCACGTTATTCTTACCTTTTATTTGGTCCCACCCCCAATCTATTGCTGCCTCCTGAGTCCCAGCTGATGACTAGAGGGAAAAAACTGTTTAAACTCTTGCCGCCGGGCTTCAAAGGGCCGTCCTACAGCTGATCAGTGTTAAAAGCAAACAAATGAGTCGGGTCGTAAGTGCGAGGACCTTCCAGAAATGACTGACCAGCTAGCCACGCCCACCTAGTCACATGACCTCCAAGCCACACCCACAAATTAAGCCACACCCACAAAACCGGTAGTAAAACAATTTAGAACCCACCCCTGTTGCAGAGCCAATATGAAACAAATATTCAAAATCATCAGCTTTCAACCATCAGTCACCTAAGAGATGCCCTTGAGTTTCCCAGGCTCTTCAGAGCACATGGTTGGTGCATTCTTCACAGACAGAACAAACTGTTTGCCAGATGCATTTGAGAAATTCTGCTGTTCAGCAAAACTAAATGACAATCAGCCAATTGTTGGTGTTTTATATCGTTATTAAGTTAGCACACCTACTCTTTTGGAATAAGGCCAGCAAGATCTAAGCAAAACAAATACAATTAAAATCAAGCCATGTATGCTTTAAGGGACATGGTTATGAATATATTAATTATACCATTTTATTACGCAACATTAAATACAGTGTTACATTTTAGCCTCAAACCCACACATCCCTTTTAGAAATGAAAAACACTGGGATATCCATATCAAAACAACATACCTTCTGTGCGGCCAGAATCTGAAAATAACATTTAACACAGCACAATACTTAAGCTGTGAAATGGTTCGGTTGAGATCAGCATATGTAGGACTGAATGGGGTAGTTTGTAAGGGTGATACTGAAACATAATTTTATCATATTTTATTTATTTATATATTAAATTATTGTATTTTAGACAAATTTCATTTTAAACTATTTTAGTCCGATTTCATTTTAAATTGCATTTTAGTCCAATTTCATTTTAAATTGTATTTTACCCAATTCCATTTTAAATTATTTTTATTAGATTTTAGTAATAATTTATGTCCACAACTCTGCATTTTGATATGGCCCAAAGGCTAATCAATAAAGTAAAGTGAATGTTAAATGAAAAACATTAGAAATGTTTAGAAATAAAAACTCATTTCCTATTTTGCTAGAGGCTTTCCTTCATTTTTATGTGTTATTGGGCTGAGAATGAGGTCAAATAAATAATTAAGATGGCATAGAGTATCTAAGAAAAATGCCTGCTGATCCAAGCAATACATACTGTTTTCACAATGAGGTCCTTCCCAGCCTTGGCATTGACACCAGTAGTTGCCATTTTTAGGAATACAAATTCCATAATTCATGCAGGGGTTAGGTTTGCAGATATTTACTGGCATTTTGGCTTCTGTAACAGAGAAAACAGAAAACAGTGCTGGCTATTTGGGCACAACTAAGTTTAATCTCTCAAAGCTGCATACCTGGCTTTTGTTGCACGTGTGGTAAATGGAAGTCAGTGAACACATCTTTTTGTGTTGGAAAGAGCTCCCCAATGTGAAATTGGATACTGGGATAACAGCTGGCAAAGTAACCAGGCAGGTTCTGCAATTTACAGAATTTAAGAAAGGCAGATACATTTGGAGGCGATGGGAAATAAAAGGGCCTTAAAAGAAGAAAGGCATAGATTCTACCACAAATCAAGAGGTTTACCTTAAAGACTATTCTATTTACAGTAATACCTTGGTACTTAAATGCTTTGAAATGCATCAAATTTGCTACTCAATGCATTTTGACGTAAAAATTTTGTCCTAAAATTTTGTCATTGTTGTTTGGTACTCAGTGAACAAGCTAAGAGCTTGTTGGTGTCGGCTACTTTGTGATTCACTACATTATTCCTTATGGGAAAAATGTGTTTGGTACTCATTGTTTTTGGTAGTTATCGAAACTTCCGGAATAAATTAACAATAAGTACTGAGGTACGACTATATTGGCTTAACTCAATCCAACGTGAGAGACCAAAGCAATGCTTTATAGATGAATACAGTTTAGTATTATCCCTTATTTATGGCATATTTCTAAATTTAGAATTATTGTTTAATATCTGTCTCTTCATGACTCATTATATTCCCTTCTTTCCCATATAGGATCTGATAATCTATTACAGATGGTCCTTGTTTAATGACCATTCATTTAGCAACTGTTCAAACTTGTAACAGTGCTAAATGAATGGTACTTATGACTAGTCCTAGAAGTTCTGCCTATTGCAGTGCTCTCATAGTCACATGATCACAATCCAGGTGTTACACAGTGGCCTGGATATCCAACCATTGCAGCATTCCATGGTTCCACGTTAGCAATTTGCAATCTTTCCTACCAGCTTCCCACAACCAAAATCAATGAGAAAGCTGGCAAGAAGTCATAAATCGTATGAGATCCTCCCTTAAGTACCTGTGGCAATTCACTTAATGATGGTAACCAAATATTGCCAGAACTGCCATTGCTAAGCAGTGCAGTCGCATAATGTTATTCTTTATAACATCATCATTTAATAATTGAATTCTGATCCCAAATACCATTATTAAGCAAGAACTACCTGTCTCACCATCTAAAAATTCAATCCTATCAAAGACATTGTTTCAAAAACAAAACAAACTTCTCTTTAAAAGAAGAACAAAGTATTTTATATATTTCCACAGCCGTTCATTGTTTTAGATTTTAGCACAATCTTAATTTATTTCAATAAAGTACAAAGTATTTATCACTCTTTTTATTTCAAGTATATTTTTAAAAAATCAGTAGCTATTTTAAAATAATTCTTGTTGGAGATTAAGAAAGTTAAATCTAGGTCATCTCATAAAGCCTAGTGAAGTAAAAATAAAGTCAGTGTTTTCAGGAGAAATGGCCTTAACACTGAATTTGATGTAGATTACATCTCTTTCTCACTATACTTTTCTATTCTATTGCCTCTGCTGGAAGTTTGCATCTGACTGAAAAAGAAGATAAGTTAAGAAAAAATGTTGCTGCAATTGTTGGCTATAAAACAGAAAATCAAAATATATCTTACCATCACACAATTTTTGCATGATAAAGTCTTCGTTATGTCTGAGATCTTCATAAGAAGACATTCTCACCAAACTGTTAGAAGAGCCTGCAATCCTCAACAACAAGTCCATTTGTACACGTTCTGTCACAATGATAAGAAGTGATACATCATTACTGCGTAGCTGTTGGGCAGGGACTACAGCATCTTCCACTCCAGCTCCACTTGTGATGACTACCACAACTTTTTTCACACCAGGCCTTGCTCCTTTTTGAACAACTGTGATATCATCATGAATATGAAGCAAGGCACTTCCAACTGAAGCAGAGCCACCCATAAAGGGAGCTTGTTTGATGGCTTCCTGAATAGCTGAACTAGTAACATGTGTATCCAGTCCAAATACTGTTTGAGGTCTTTTACCAAAGACAACAAGGCTGACTTGTGTTACATCCCTATTGATGCCAAACTGGGAAGAGAGACTGCTGACAAAGTTTTTCATCTGGACAAAGTTAAACCTTCCAGTTGAAGCTGAGGAATCCAGAGCAAAGACCAAATCCAGGGGCTGAGATAGGCAGCCTGAGGAGGAAGAAGAAGATATCAGCCGTTGAAAAATGTGGCTCATTCATGTGGACGCCTACAAGTCTTATATGATACAGTAAAGGGAATCACTTTTAAGTAAGGTTATATTGGCAGGACAAGTCTTCTTCTACAGGTTTCTCATTAAAAGACTGTTTCCATTAGCAATCCATGGAAAAGGTGATTTCACTTCCTTCCGCAGCTGCAAACATGCACATAAATGACAAGACTTTCTATACAAATAAGGTTTTGCTCATACAAACTTTGATTTCATCAATAATTCGGACTAGAATTTATAAATCTGGACATTTAGTGATAACACTGGGCAGTGAGTTGGCAATAAAATAAAATGAAATCTGTATCTTGTAATATCTCAAGTGTTACATTAGGAAGAACTGAAACTGTCAGCTTTGGAACCCATATTAGGCCGGAAGCTTCCACACTGCCACCTTCTCATGTGTGGGAAAAGAGGAGGGGGGATTTAGTAGAGGGATTGTATTTAGACAAAATAGCATTCTTCCTTTCGGTCAAGGTCAGGACGATCCGGCATCTGGAGAAGGAGTGGTTGGAGTGCTGTCTCAAGATGGGACAGATGGTGATTGGAGCATGTGATCGACTGATGAATGAGGGGATGGTTTGGGGTTTTTTGATTTACTGAGGGAAAACTCGGAACTCTCAGATTCGGGTTATCCCAAGATGTACCAGTATACCTACTCTAATAAATGGAACTTTGAGAAAATGCTTGCTTTGGAGTTTTTAATTGGAGTTGGGGTTTTTCTGGAACGCTGACAGAAATCTCAGTGAAATATGAAGCTTATTCAAAAACTCTCTCCTATCATCAAAATATGTAGCTTATATTAGGGTGCTACTGGAATAAAAGGGGAAAAGGAAGACAGTGTATATCTCTCTGAATTCTTTGGAAAAACGGGGAGATAAATATACAGTAATAAAGAGAAATAACTAATATTTTATTTCACTTTTAATTAAATTTCAATTTTAAAATAGTTAAACATGATTTAAATACATCACTAATAAATAACCTCAGACACTAGAGAGACAAATCTAAATTGGTGATCTCAGTATGACCTCTGACTAACAACAGAGATTGAAATTAACAACAGCACCACATACAGCTTTCACATGGTTTAGGAAATGGCAACCTTTTTTTTCATTTATTGATTAATACAATGTACAAGGTACATTGATGTGCTGTCTGCAGTAGCTTTAGTCCTGTATTATCTCTAATAACCTGAAATATGTACAACATCCAGCAGGAAACACTGAACCAATAATAGATATTGAAATAACAACTGATATGGTAACCTTATCTTGAATTCTTACCTTGACTATCGATGCTGCAGATTTTTCTCTGTAATTCAGTAATTTTATTGACTAGATCTTGAGTGGTGGAGTAGATAATTGTCTGCTTTGGATTCCCTGTAATCTCAACCAGTTCTCTTTTTAAAAATTCACTGCCAATTGCAATGATAGAAATACCTTGTTTCCTACTGAACTTAGCTGCTTCTACCACTGAATCGTCAGCTTTTGAATCTGTGAGCAATACGACAACATGGGGAAGATCTTCAGGAACATCAGCAAAGACTGGTGCACGCTTAAAGCCATGTTGTGTAATAAATTGTAAAGCTTTGCCGGTCAAAGTGTTCCCTCCATTGAACTCCATGGAATCAATGATCTTCACCAGACTGAACATATCTCTGTAATCCCCAATTTGGACAATCATCTTGACATCATTGCTATAATGGGCCAAGGCCACATTTCCCAGAGTTTCTGAATCCCACATTACATGGAAAAACCTTTTCAAGAAAGTTTTATAATGCAAGAAGCCTTCAAGAGTAGTGCTAGATGAACTATCCACCAAAAAAAGAAGGTCCACACTGCATTCCAGATTTATATTTGGTGCTGTTTAACGAAATAAGCAAAAACTATTAGAAACCCAAAAAGAATGCAGAACAAGAATCTTCTAAAATAGAATATTGTACAATATATAGCTATCGCTAAGGTTAATTTCTGTCATCTTTTAGTTACAGAAATGGTACGGGGTCTCCTGCTTGAGCAGAGAGTTGGACCAGAAGACCTCCAAGGTCCCTTACAGTTCTATTTTTACTGATTGATTCAAATATTTAATCATAAAATGTAACCTAAGACGGTGCTAGAATGAACTAAGACTTAGTACATTGGAAAAATGTAATAAATGATGTGGGGTGTATGAGAGAGATGGGATTTCTTGTTCAGTTGTTTAAGTTACCAGGTCATGAACCACAGATGATAGAAACATCTTCCAAAATTCAGCATAAATAAAAGCATTAGAATAGGTAAGCAGAGATATAATTAGAAACTGTCTAAAAGAACCCCTTCAGTTTCTGTATAAACTTCCTACACCAGAGAGATTTGAAAAATGGAATTTGGATATTTCATATTAATAATTGCCACTCTCATAATTCCTCTTTTATAATTAAAAATGTCACCTAGGCAAAACATAATTCTTACTAACTACAGAGGATCTGGATAAATGGTTCTAGCCTATATAAATATTAAAAGAGGAATAGTAGTTTTTGCTTGTTTGGTGGGAAATTAAGTCAACATATTCTGGTATCCTGATCTGAAGGATGGTGGAATTATAGGATACAATATATGAAATATATGATATTTTATTTTGAGGAACATTCAGATATGGATATGCTACTTCTTAATGATGATGGTGATTTAAATCAAACTGTCTAATTGTTATCCCATTCTGCTCTTCCTTATTAAAGGACAAATAATGATAATCAGACCTTTTTGTAGAAAACTGGGTCATGTTACCAACACATTAAAAACAAGATTCCAGTCCCTATAATAAAACAACATACCACAGTTGGAATCTCCTCCAAATTCCACTGGACAGACACAGTGGTAGCCTTCTAATCCCTGTTGAATGCAAGTGCCTCCGTTCTGGCAAGGGTGGGAATCACAAGGATCTAAATTCAGGAAACAGAGATAAATGAAAGCTTATTACATTTTTTTCTCTTTCAATAGAGGTCAATATTGACCTCTAAAAAAGCAACACATTTCATAGTATATCTAATGAAAATCTATTACTCCATCACCCCCATTTTGTGTATACCCAGGCATCTCTTATAATTAAGATAGTAAAAAAAAAAATTCAATAATAGAAGCTCTTAGAATTATGGAACTTTGTACACTGTGATCGTTTCCCCATAATCAAGGTATTATAAAGAGATTATAAAGAGATAAATGGTCTCGATTCATGCAATTATTTTTATTCTAAACATAATTTAGTTTGGTTAATATAAAGGTAATGATTGAGGGTGGATGAATTTTCAAGATAAAGTTTTGAATTTATTAATGTCTTCAGTATTAATATTTTATTGTATGAGGTGAACATGTAATTCTTTTCATTATAACAGTAAAATATGTATGATCAATCTTGAGTTGAAAGAACATAATTTATAGATCAATTAAGGACCTAACACAATTGAACTGAAACTGATTGATATTTTTCTATGATCAGAGGATTTGACTAAAAAAAAAAGTAAAAATGAAAAATAAACGCGAAGAAATCAAGTTATAAATATTTAAATTGGTCTGCATGGTGGACATATGGAATATACTTGATAAATCGATTCCTTCTGTCCATAGGACATTTTGAATCTAGTGGAGAAACACCACTGGCAGAATGGAAGAAGAGTCTATTTTTACAGATGATTGCTCTTCCTAGTGTCCTTGAATAGTTATCCTTGTGCCTTTGTAGTTTGGGGATTCTCTAGAACAGTGTTTCTCAATTGTGGCAACTTGAAGATTTGTGGACTTCAATATCAGAATTCCCATTACCGATGGGAGAGTTCTGGGAGTTGAAGTTCATATAACTTCAACACTGCTCTATAACAATGCCAAACTAGAGGGAGGAAGAAATTTGTGAAAATAATCTCTCTTCTTTGAGGGAAACATTCAAATGTTGCTAATGGAAAAATACTTTGGATAATACCCTAACCCTAACCCTAACCCTAACCCTATCCCTATCCCTAACTCAATGTCTATTAATAGATATGCTACTTTTTTCACTTTATCACTTTTATTTTGAAGCACCTATATTTTAGATTTTAGCGATCTGGACCTTACCTGAGCATATGGTTCGATAGCACGTAGATGGATATTTGATGAAAATGTTTCTCCATCTTAATTAAAAAAACCAATATTAAAGAAAATGAAACTTCGATGAGTTAATATTTGAAAATAGTGAAGCAATGATATTGAATTTAATTAATTAAATTATTAACAATATAATTCTTATCAGTTAGATTTTTTTAAAACAATAATATTACTCAACTTTTACATCTGTATAGTTTCTGGAAAAAAATTGGAAAAGTAGAACAAAGTAGCATTTTAAGAAGTGCAGAAGTTTAAATCTTCAACCTTCTAAACTCATTTTAATCTGCAGTTTATGTCCACCACACACTTACACACATACACACACATTGTACTTGCCAGCTTTCTTTCTTCAAAGCCTTGTGAAAGGCCTCAGGTCAGAGAAGGAGGAAAAGGAGGAGGAGAGGAGGGGAAGGGGAGGAGAAGGAAGATTAAGGTGACTTACTTGTAGAAAGGACAGAGTGACGTGCGTACAATATTACTGCTTTGGGAGCCTTTCCAACAGAAATAGTTTCCAACCAGTTCTTTTACTCGCTCAAGTGTTTTGCGTTCACAGGGATGAGATTCAGCCCTGCAACCTTATGCAAGAGACAAGAATTCAGAATCAGTATTAACAAGAAACTTAAGAGAAGTATACCAAACTTCTCTTAAGTTATAAGAAACTTAAGTATACCAAAATGATGGTGTAACAAAACTGTAGCACTTTGACCTTGCATGGATAAATCAGGTTTAATAGCTTTCTTCTGTAATGAAGAACATCAGGTAACATCTTGGGAAACATGGTTGCCTGAATTTCTGGGGGGCAACTGCCAGTCAAAACAGGTAAGATTGGATTAGATGTCAGGTAGGCTGGGCTGATCTAAAGCAATTTTTAGTGTTTGATGATTGAACACATTGTCCCTTCGCAAGTTATTTCTCTGATAAAATAACATTTTGATTAAATATTAATACAAGTTTAAGTAAAGGAAAAGAAAAGGATAGCTTACTCTCTCTCTTTCTCTCTCTCTCATTATCTCCAGCATACTTATTTAGATGTGCAGGAAAAATCATTCTGAAAATATTTCTATTTGCAGAGACCCACCTGTTGGCTACACAGGAAGAAACTGCAACCGGTATCTATCCATGTTGCTATTTATGGTATAGCAATGTATACCCTTTAAAAATTAACTTTCTAAAATATTTGTAATTATTTTTAATACCTGAATCTTAGAGATGGAAAGAGTCATTTAAGCTTCTGAGCTCAATCTTCTGTTTAATAGAGGAATCCAAATTAAAGAATTGGCCTTGGTTTTATTTTAATTTACCCAGTAACTTAAACACCCAATCAATTGGAATCCACTTTGAATAATTTATTCTATTCTGAATTACTGTTACTGTTGATCCCCCCCGCCCCCGCCGTAACATTCAACTGGAATCTGCCTGCCTGTAACTTGGATCCAATATTCCATGTCCTGCACTCCAGAATATAATTTTAACTCAGAGTACTCCTTTATTGTGCTATGTTGCTGTTTGAATCATTCTTAGATGCTAGAAAAGCTGCACAACATTTTTCTCCATCAAACAAAAAACTGTGGGAAGTTTGCAAAATACATAATAACATCATATGGAATCTACTCTTAACATTCTTAACATTCTTCGAATGACACCAGGTAATGAGGCAATAGAAAACAATAAAAAGCTCCCTTATCCCCTATCTACCAAAGAGTTATAAAATTACTTTTATAGCCATCTAGAGTCTTCTGGATTCTGGCTATACTAAATTGACTAAATTAAATCAATTTATACAGAAACAACAGCTTTATGAAAAAAATGGTACAGTGAAAACATAGCTCTTAATCAGTGGTGAAATCCAATTTTTTTTTACTACTAGTTCTGTGGACGTGGCTTGGTGGGCGTGACAGGGGAGGATACTGCATAATTTCCATTCCCACCCCACTCCAGGGGAAGGATACTGCAAAATCCCCATTCCTTCCCACTCCTGGGAGAAGAATATTGCAAAATCTCCATTGCCACCCCAATCTGGGGCCAGCCAGACGTAGTATTTGCCGGTTCTCCGAACTACTCAAAATTTCCGCTACCGGTTCTCCAGAACCTGTCAGAACCTGCTGGATTTCACCCCTGCTCTTAATGGAGAAATGAAAAACAAGGCACAATAAAAACAGAAGGTAAATAAATAATAATACTTAATCTGAGTGCTTAAACTAAACTGAGGATCCAATTCTCGGTGCTCTCTTGTTTTCTTGCAGACATTTCATTACCCAAACTAGGTAACATTATCAGTGCTAGTAGCTATCATTGACTGTGTTCCATAGTTTGGGTAGTGAAACATCTGCAAGAAAATAACCACGCTCAGAGAGCACCAAGGAACTGTCCTTTCAACCCTGAGCTACAAATATTGTCCTTTATTGATTAAATTAAACTTAAAATACCGGGAAATGCAGCATTGCAGATATCAGACAGTGTAAGCCTGGTATAGAGCCCATTGAAGGCATCATCAGTGTCCTCTGCAAACAGTGTATAGTGTTCCACTGGCTCACTTGCTAGTGCATACAGTTCTTCCCACCTGCACAAAAGCAAAAACTTTTTAAAAAATACATCGTACATCCTTACACATACAAAGCTTCGTTGTACAGAACTGAATCATTAGTCCTGCTTAATTATTTTTATGAATGGCCTACGACTCTTCATTAAACATTATTTTTGTTATTTACAATAGAGAAATATATAAACTGATTACAACCCTTAGGCTACCTTTTTTTCCAGTGGGAAGCTTCATTTCATACCTAACACCTCCTTGGCTTTTCTCTTGATGTAGGGCATTATTTGCTTCAGTGGTGAAATGTAAAATTTGTTACTACCGGTTCTGTGGGCATGGCTTGATGGGGGGGGGGGGGATAATGTGACTGGGTGGATGTGGCCAATTTTTTTATTTTTTTTTTTACTTTTAAAAGCATTTTTTCTACAACCTTAAGAGGTTGCAGGAAAAAATGCTTTTAAAAGCCTCTGACGATCCCAGCTGAGCCGCGTGCTGCTCAGCGGCGCATGGTGGGGGGGGGCAGGAATTTTTGCTACCGGTTCTCTGAACCACCCGCCGCCATCGCTACCAGATCAGGTGATCTGGTCCAAACCAGGAGCATTTCATCCCTGATTTGCTTGGTCTCAGAAACATTTTTTACCATGCTATTCAATTTATATGTAATCCTCAATTTACAACCACCATTGGAATTTCCATCACTAAGCAATGTAGTCATTAAGTGACTTGCACTTGATTTGATGCCTTGTTTTGCCAAGACCATTAAGTGTATCACCTGGTGATTTGGCTTCCCCCTTTGGCTTTGCTTGTGATGGCCTGCAAGGTGGCAAATGGCAATCACATGATTCCAGGACACTGCAATTCTTGTAAATACGTGGCAATTGCTAAATTCCTGTATTGGGATCATATGACTGTGGGGATGCTGCAATGGTTGTAAGGTGAGGACCAATCACAAGTAACTTTTTTCAGTATCCTCGTAATTGCAAACGGTCGCTAATCAAATGGTCCTAAAGTCAAGAACTTCCTCTAGAATTGCTTCTAAAATTTAGAATGAATTTTGCCAGTTTCCCAACACTTCAGATTAAAATTCGTCAAGATTTATCTGGAGATGCCAAGAAATGCACAGGAATCTTTGGTATGCTAAAGAAGTAATTAATGACTGAGTTCTAGAAAACAACTGTTGGTCTTCCAAACTCTCAACTGCAATAAGCTCCTACACAGTGGATCCTCTTTCTGTTCTTGAAGGACGTGCATGACAAATCTTCTATCCACTGTAGGACTTTCCTTCAATCTTTAACTATTAAGTGGCAACAGCAGTGAACATCCCATGTCAACTCACCTTGGGTAGTTGACTCCAATTGCAAACACTGCAATCCCCTTTTCTTTTATCTGCTGGGCTAAGGTTGACACATTGTACTGAGATCTCCCATCAGTTAAAATTATAAGGATTTGGGAAACTGATGAGTTCCTGCCTCCACGGAATCCTTGTTGAAGAATGTGATCCAGAGCAAGACATGTTTCTGTTCGCCCACCTCTAAAATCAAGAAAAGCGAGCATTAGGAAAGCTTCAGGCACCCAGTTTTGTCTTCTTAATTTCTGATAAATCCTTATTAATATCTATATGTATGATAGAATATATATTTTTTCAAAAGTAAAGAGGAAATGAAATGTTTTATAACTAAGGCATACACATATGCACATTCAATTATTTTAATCAGCTTGGCAAAGCTAATAGTTCATTTTTTATGGAAGAAACAACTACTCAGGATTTCTTTATTAAAAATATAACTTTCTTATGAATATGGTACTTTATGTTCCCTGATATTAAACAATATCATTTGGCTTATTTGTTAAACTTCATTAGATTAAAAATGCTACTACATTGGGAGTTCAACCTGAGAGTTACTACTAAGGACGGTGTATTCCTGGCAGGTTCTTGGTTCTAATCATTGTGAGAATTTGATTGTTTTTCCTAAATTGAAGGTGATCAGACATATTGTGGCTTAGTAAACAAAAAAATAAAGTTGGATGTTCATTTTCAGGAAATATTGTATTTTGGAAAAACTATTAAAAATGGATGGTAGCTTGGAATTTGGAACGCTGACAATTGCACAAGAGATGGTAGATGCCTCTCATTTAAAGATATTTTATTACTTTAGTCAAAATACATTACCATCAAGTAAGATAAAGGGATGAAAAATTAGTCTAGTAATATATATTAATCAAAGTGCATCAATAAATTGAATGCACTTAATTGGATAATATGTCAAAATGAATGTAGGAATTTATTACAATCACATCCTCATACATTATTTTGGATTTCCATGTTCAGATAATACTGGGAAGCTGCTTTGATATATGTAACTAAGGGAATTTTTATTAAGAAAATAAAGCCATATGTTAGCAAATAAATAAAGCAAATAAATCTTATTGTAATTGTCTTCACAGCAGTCAAGTTCACTTGTATTATTTTGAAGAATAAAATATGATTGTACAATCTGCAACATCTTTTTTCAATTTTTAATCTCCAGTCTTGCAGTTCTATTTAAAATCTGAAAAAGCTTGAACACAATGCGGAGAGAGAGAGAGAGAGAGAGAAAGAGAGATATCTATATAAATTATTACTTAATTCAATATGATAATTAATAATCAGAATCTACATAAACATAGATGTAAATTCTGTAACAGAGATGAAAGGACTTTTGTTGATATGGTAGATTTTAACAGTTGTCAGATGATGTCATTTGTAAATAAATTTCAGATAGGATTCTTTTATTATTTTTGACCATTTTAAATTTATTTCTAAAAACAAAAATCCATTTTGTTTATAGAATTGATATCTATATTTCTCATAATTCATAGTTTTGTTTCGCTTTATTTAAAAAAGAAAATACAACCTCCACATTCATTATAAATTGGCAACCCATAAACTTTGGTAACTGTTTTTGGCCTTTGGTGCTTTTTTTTACACATTCCTTTTCAAATAAGATTTAAACTGCCAATTAAAGTAAATTTACTTTAAATCTGAAATATCTGTGGTCAACTTTTGTCCTTTTTTTTCAATATATTTATAGAATAAATAACACATACGCCTCTATGTATTATTTACACTTTTTATTCTTTCTGTCATTTTAATGATTTTAAATGACATTATCTGCCCTGAGAACCTTGGTTACCAGAAACTATAATACCCTGTTTCCCCCAAAATAAAACATCCCCTGATAATAAGCCCAATTGGGCTTTTGAGCGCATGGCAATAAGGCCAAGCACTTATTTCAGGGTTCAAAAAAATATAAGACAGGGTCTTATTTTCGGGGAAACATGGTATAATTATAATTATTATGTTTCATAAGCTATGATTTCAAGTTGTTTATATTTATTCCTTCACATCCTTTCCCTTCTATCAAATAAAAGTAGAAACAAATTATGTAATTCCTTCATTTGTTGTATGATGTTATTTATTCCCTTTTTTCCATCATGCAGAAAAAATATATATTATACATCTTGCGAAAAATAACTATGTAATCATATGAATGTAGGGGAGACAGTTAAGACAACTGGACAATCTTCTCCCTCTGGTTTCCTCCAAATGGGAATGACTGTTTGAGCATGGGGGAGGGGGGAAACTAGAGTGGCAGTGAGTCATTGAGTTGCAATGAGTCATTGCTTTAGTCCACACCAATAACTATTTCCAAGTCCAACAGTATCATGGCATGCTCTCTTGCCTCCATCCAGGAGAAAACAATAATTTCTTCCAGTCTCTTATAGCCATTTATCCTGCTCTTCTTTTTTATTGCAATAAACGTTAAGCTTTAATGACTTTTCAAGACATAATGGAGAAAGTAGAGTGAATAAGAATGAGAATCAAGGAGAGACATGCAGGAGGAATTACAGCTGCCTTGATTTCCAAAACAATGACTAATCTGAAAGGGAAAACACCTACTTTACAATCATACAAAGCTACTTTCTGGAGAGAAAAATGAAGCTGTACAGGAGATAGTTCACTCCCGGTGAATAAAAACCCAGACGGTGATTTGTGGGTGAAAACTTTTCCCTGTTCCTTTAAATATGATATATTTATATATTTAACTAAAAAGCATAGGGTACCAGAATTATGCAAACTTTATGAATTGTGCTGTTCTCACCTTGAAGGAGTGGCTGTTTTCCAGCAATTGTTAAAGATCCAATGCCCATCTGGCATGAGTGATTTCATAACCATCCCCAGTCTTCCTTTTCAACAGGGAATGAAAGTCAGTTCTAGGAGTCCCAGAAATTAAGTGCAGCTCTCAGAAACCCATTTGGATTGTAGCAGCTGATTAGAAGATTTTGGCAGCCACAAAGCTTTGTATTATTCTACTTAACAAAAAGGGATCTAGACTGGCAAGAATAGGAGGGATGAGTGGAAATGCTAGATTCCTGAGGAACCAAAATACAAAACAATTCAGTGCTTGTGGGACCACATTTCCATCATGCAGATCCATTTTTACACAAATGGATATGAATAATACAAAATACTTGGATCTTTTGCAAGTACTATGTATCCACAGCAAATTGTATCTGGTGCTAGATCATAGTGACAAAATTAATTTACAAATATCAGAAAAAAAGATCAAACTTCTCTTATGTCTTTTGAAAGGCAAGTTTAAGTTTTCCTAGTGAGTTGTTTGATGGTGATGCTGATCTGAAAGTCAGAAAGCATCTCAGGTTCCAACTATTTGCTAATTCCAAAGGGGATTATTTTATTATTCTTTTATTAGTAAGCCCAAATGGGTTATTAATTCCGCAATAGCATATGATGGACTAGTCATGAATTTCGATAGTCTAATCAACCTTCTTTTGCTCCTCCTGGCATTAGCTAGGTTAGTTAGTTAGTTAGTTACTATGCATCCTTTCTCATACATATATTGTATGAGATTATCAATAAAGGAACAAGAGAGCTCACGATATTACTTATAAGGCTATGATCATAGTATGCAGTTTGCAATTAAAATTAGAATAACATTCTAGCACTTTGGCCTCGATTTGAGTCTATGGAAAAATAAATAAATCACTTTTATAACAAAACGTTCTTCCTCATAGCTCAGAAATGAACCCTGAATCTATACAATGTTTATTTATTTTGAAAAAATGAAACTAGTTCCATCCACCTTTTATTTCCTGGTGTATTCAGCATTTGTTCACACTCTGACTTTATGGTGCCTAATGCTTTAATCTACACATTTCTCTCTATATCAGCTTGTAATTCTTAGTACTCTAAACTCCTGCCAAAATTGTCTTTGAACTCTTTTTTAAAGCTTTTTCTTTACTCTTTCTCTCCGCTGCTTTACTCTAAGCTCCATGTCAGGAATGCATCAACAAAGTTGTGGTGGCAGTCATGCTTTTCCTGGCCAGCTGCATTTTGTCCATCATCTCCCAAAACCTAAACTTATTGGGAATTCTTATTGGGAAGAATTGGAAGCTTCCTAAACTGGGAAGCTTAGTCCCAATCTATTTGGATGGGGGAAAGTTCTTTTATTCTTATTCCTCCAAGAGCTGGTTTGAGATTTCTAGTTCTCAACCCAGTATATCTCGAGTTCATCAGATGGGGACATTATTTTAGAATAATATATGTAAAGGTTTGCTTATAGATCAATGAGCTAAAATGCTTTCTGATTTAGAAAACTCTTGGATTTTAAATTTACAAAGCTCTCAGGATATTTTTGCTATACTTGCATGTTAAATATAAGCATACATAAGCTAATAGGCACACTCATGTTGTTAACATGCCATTGGAAAAATTGCCTTACTGAATTGTTGGGAGCAACATGTATATTGATACACATAGTACACATGGGCTGAGACAAAGAGACAATAGGATAGAATTGAATATAGTAGGTACACATATAATTTCAATGCAATTCCTACTGTTCTTTATCCTGTGCCTGAAATGTGGCAACATGACAAATTAAAATCTCTCTTTTTAATTTATATAACAGAGTAAAAAAAAACCATGAGACATCATAGGAACATATAAAAAGATGTTCCTATGAACAGATCATTGGGTGATCTGGAGAAAGTAACTAATATAGGTCCATCAGAAAATAGAAATATTTATGGCTAATGAGAAGTAGGATGCATGGGGGAGATCATGTAGTATTGTGTTGAAAGTATTGTACTAGGGCTAAGGACAGCCAGTGTCAGCCATAGAAACTAATGGGAAGATTTTGAGCATTAAAAGATAGGCAATATCAGTTGATAAGAGAAATTACAGACTTATTAATCATTTGATATAATTTTAAATGTTTGAGTAAACTTAGGGACAATTCCATATGATATAACAGAATATCATTTTGCTTTGAAAGAACTTTCTTTAAACAGAGGCTGGATATCTGTTCAGCTACAATTCTTGGTTGATATTACATTACCTTTGAGCTCACTTAATGCAATTATATGATTCAATGATCCAGAGCAAGAGTCCGAATACGAAATCTATCTTACTTGAACATAATCTTCTTGAGTTGATCTTTTATCTCATGCTTAGTGAAATATGCATCCAATGGGAATTCCAAGTGAGGAGTGTTGCTGAATTGTATTGCTCCAACTCGAACCTGAAAAGGTAAGATAAAGTTCGGGTGGTCTCAATATGCTAAACTATGGAAACTTAGAAATAAGCAATTTAAATTTCTTCTCCTCTTTAGAATTTCCTTTGCTTCTGATACTTTCCTTTCCTTCTGGTTAGAAGGAAAGATCTCTACATTTTCCAATAAAATGGAAATGGATGGATACCCATGTAACTTTATCAAAAGAGGCCTGGCTACTCTACCTACTACAGCACAACCAATAAGGATAACACTGCCATACATTTTTTAAAAAGTCTTAGAACAACCAATAAACTATTACAACCATATAGTATCACCATAGTACATAAACCAACTAAAACCCTCCTTTACCTTAAATAAACCAAAATACCCAGAAGAAAAACAGGAGTTATCTACAGCACACAATATATAGACTGTAAGAGTCATTATATTGGAGAAACAGGCAGAAAACTAGCAGAGTGCATGAAGGCATGAAGAAAACTCCTTAAGTATACAACACATGAGGAGATTTAATCACAGTTTCAATTGGAAAACTATGATCATCCTATATGAAGTAAAAGCCCCAAATGCTAGAGAATTCCTGGAAGCCTGCCATTCATACAAATCCGCTACCAACATCAACATACAAAGCTACCATTCAAAACAGGCAAGCAAAAAGGTAAAAAGAGCCAAGGTGGCGCAGTGGTTAGAATGCAGTCCTGCAGGCTACTTCTGCTGGCTGCTGCAATTTGGCAGTTCGAATCTCATCAGGCTCAGCCTTCCATCCTTCCGATGTCAGTAAAATGAAGAGCCAGATTGTTGGGGGCAATATGCTGACACTGTAAACTGCTTAGAGAGGGCTGTAAAACACTGTGAAGTCTAAGTGCTACTGCTAAAAGCTAAAAGACTACAATACCTATTTGCCGGCAATCAATACTCAGATAAGCAGAGATTGACACTAAAATAAAACTAGACCAAAAACAAGCAGTAAACAATACTTCAATCAAGGAACTACAAACAGTAATTACAGTCTAAACAAGAAACCAAGAATACTTCCACCAACACTAACAGGGCAAACCACTAGTATATAAACAGAAAGAAACTCCATTTCCTTCTAGCACCGATGATGTTACATAGTTGGGTAATGAAATGTCTTCAAGAAAACAACCAAGTTCTGAGAGTACCGACAACCTCACATTAGATAGGGCTGTAAAGCACTGTGAAGTGGCATATAAGTCTAAGTATTATTGCTATTGCGATCCAGAAGTTTCTGTAGTTGGGCGGCATTAACAAATGCAATAAAAATTTAAAATACATTTTAAAAAAAAAAGTATGCCCCACCTACCTTAATGGAGAACAGGATAAAAATACCACCCCCTCCCAATAGAGACAGAAGAAATGAAACATTTTAGAGACAGAATTGTTCTTTAAATTCCAGATTCATTACTCACAGAACCCTAGGTTAGATTTTATTGCAATGCTGTTAGTGTTGTGTGGAATATATGACTATACTTACCTTTTCTGGGCTGATGTCCAATGCATCACAAAGCTTGATTGTCAGATATTTTGACCTTTCAAAGCTTGCTTTGCCAATGCTATAGGATCCATCTAACAGAAATAAGATATCGACTGGAGCAGAGCAATTCATTACTGAAAAAAGACAGAGGCATTTTCTCATAACCTTTAACTTTAACATTTTGAACTGTTTTGCTCTTTGGGGTCATGAACGGGGTTGGCGGAGAAAGAGAAATGAACACACTGAAAACAAAGGTTACCATTCATAGCTTTTTTTATTATAAATATTTTATTATAATATATTTATTATTTCCTTTATTATAAAGGAAATTTAGCCATTACTGCATTTTCTATCTAAAATATAATTATAAGGGTTCTAAATTATATATTCTCAACTGTTGGGTTAATCTAGTAAGTAGGTTTATAAGATTACTTGCTAAGCATTATTAAATGCCAATATAACATATCTTTAGTGTTTTTGACTCTTGTTACATCATCTGTTGTAATAAGTAGATAGTGTAGGATTTCATGTTCCAGGCTCCCTCTCTGAGACAGTATCATCTAATGTGATCTAGGAGTCATTTCTTTGTTGCTTTCCCTCTCTTTTGGAAGAAGCTCTCCCAAGCCCCAAGGTTTGTGCAGTCCTAAGCAACTCTTACTAGACCTGCCCTCAAAGCACCAGAAAGTAGGACAAGAAACAATGGAAACTAATCAAGGAGAGATGCAACCTGCAATTAAGGAGTAACCTGTAATTCAGGAGAAACTTCCTAATGGTGAGAACAATGAACCAGTGGAACAGCTTGCCTTCAGAAGTTGTTGGTGCTTCATCACTGGAGATTTTTAAGAAAAGACTGACCAGCCACTGAAATACTATAGGGTTTGCTGCTTGAGCAGGGAGATGGACTAGAAGATCTCCAAGGTCTATTCTATTCTATTCTATTCTATTCTATTCTATTCTATTCTATTCTATTCTATTCTATTCTATCTATCCTCTATCCTATCCTATCCTATCCTATCCTATCCTATCCTATCCTATCCTATCCTATCCTATCCTATGCATTAGACCAGTATGGCAATTGAGCCTGTTCTGCTGGAAGAATGAGCTAGTCTCAGTTGTATGTGTATGGTTGTAGCTGGCTATTTTGATTATCTATATTATTCTTTTGTTCAATTTTGACTGCTTTTAGTTTTTATTGATGTATGCCAACCAGATTCATTAATTATGATTTGTGTGGCTTCACCCATTTCTTTAATGAATAAATAAATTCCAACTAGTTTCCCCCTCATCTCTCCTAACCATCACAATTAAAAATCTTGAAAATGTTAGGGATCATTAGCTTGGGCTTCAGTTTAACAAATGTCCTTATTCTAGTATCATCCAGCCTCCCCCGCAACTCAACTCCCAGCCTCTAGCTATCCCTGGATGGTACCAATTAAGAGAAGACTGAACAGTGTAGTTAAAAATAGCTCCTAGACAGTCTGCAACTTTCACCCTGGAGTTCTAAAATGTGACAAGCAACCCAGTATCTTCCAGATAATTCTGAGTTCTGACCCAGAATATATCCCATGGAAGTTGTGGAATCAGAGTTAGACATCTGAAAAGCCTAGCCTAAAGTATGTGGACATTTTACATAAAATTTTTGTGGTTGAATGTTACTGCATTTTATTCTTCTAGATATTCAACCAGAAAAGTTTGTTATTGGGAGGAAATATAGAACCATTCTGAGAACAGCAGCTGTTTCTAACTAGACACAAGGTAGTAGTAGTATTCCTGTAGGCGTTTAACCAGTTTTTCCTCATGTACACAACATGCATCACACTAAGTCATGCTTTATTAAGTAAAGTCACAACCAGTTGAGTTTCAATATTACTTTAAGCCATTATCTACAGCTACAAATCATAATGAATAGATTTATACAGTACAGTTATTCAAAACCAAATCAAGTCATATTATTGTTTAACACAAAGGGAGCTCCTCCATACACCTCACCCCTCAGCTTTTTAAAAGACAAATATAATTATTGTTGTAAATGTTCTTTCTGAATTTAAAATGTTTACAGGTTGTTTTAGCTGTAGGTCTGAGAGATCTGTAGTAATGAACATTAAGATCTCTTGTTATATTACAATCCTTTTATAATCTACAGATCAGATATCTGAGCTTTGATTGATGCAAACTTCATACAAACATTTTCCTGAAACAATGTCCTTGTTTTACCTGAACAAGGACAAACTTGCTTGCAAAATAATTACATGCTGCTCCAAACACTTATGCTTCAAGATAGAAATCTTAAGTTTTTTAAAGAGATAAATATAAGATTGTCTTTTTTGGAGGGAGGAGCCCATGAAAACACGAAAAGCACAAATATGCCTTGGAGAAATTGGTAATTGCAGACAAAAAAACTGAAAAAGTTTTTTCTCATTTTTTTTTTAAATATATAAATAGAAACTGCATAGTGAATAGAAACCAGTGGCTAAGGCAGGCATCCTTAGCTTGAGTGCCGAAAAGGGAGTATGAGCTTTGTAATTGTAAGCCGCCCTGAGTCTCCGGAGAAGGGCAGCATATAAATTGAACCAATAAATAAATAAATAAATAAATAAATTTAGGGGGCACCTGCATTATGCGGCCACATGCATTTGTCTCAACTGCAACCAGGAAGAGGAGCTGCCCAGGGGGCATGCACGAGCCAGAAAATGTAGTTCCGGTTTCCGGCGCATGCATGCGTGCTGGCCAGCAAGTCTTCCGGTTATTGCCATGCATGTGCATGTGCTGATCAGCTGGCCAGCGCGCATGCTCATGCCGGAAAACGGAAGACCAGCTTTTCTGGTTTCCAGCATTGCCGCATGCACAAAGGCCAGCTGAAACCCGGAAGAGGAACAGGCGGCGCCGTGCCATAGGTTCGCCATCACGGTTTTAGAGTGTTCCAGAATATGTCTGATGCTTTTTAAAGTGGTTGCTTCTTTCCTGGACCTGTTGCTTTAAAGAAGCAGCCCAGAAGCAGGATTTTCTTAGAACCAAAGCTAAAAGTACTACGCAGCCTATACAGCCCATCAACTGTATATTGATGGAACCCAAAATAAGTAATTTAAGAAGCAATTGCAAAGGGGAAAGAATAATTTGGAATAATAGGAAATAAGTAAACATGTATGAATCTTTAGTGGAAAGGATAGTATGAATAACTACTGTATACAAATGAAATACTTACATTGGGAAGCCGCTGAAATCTTCTCAATTATTTCTTGACTGACTTGTAGCTCTTGGATACTCCATGATATAAATACTGCAACATTAAATAACAATTGAAACTGTCAACACTTACCAACATACTTCAAGGAAATCATGTCATACTATTCTTTTCAAATGCCTGCCAAAAATCACGACATCAGTCTGGGGTTTGAACCTCTTTGTAACATTAAAGATATTAACATCATTATTCACAACACTAAAAACTTATTTTCCAAATTCCAGAAAAGCTAAAGACTTCGATTTGATTCTAGAAAAGATTACACAGCTAAAAAAGAATGCCGCTTGTTATATAGCCTGTACATTAATCAGCAACAAAAAATAGAAATTGAACTGAAAGATCTGATTTATCTGCAGTACACCATTATTTAACTACAATCAATCATTTCCCAGAAGTTATTATATGTTTGTAATATGTATGATTAGATCCAAGAGTAGATGTTCTTGCATTAGCATAGTACCTAACTGTCTTTGAATGAGAGACAGAGTATATAAGAAGAGAGCAAGAAAAATATGCAAATTTGCTGCTTTAATAAAAGAGATTTATTTCTGGACAATCTTCAAAAAATGTCCTACACTTTAGAATTAACAGAATGCTTGCATGCTTGTTTAATGGTGCTTGCTTTAGGGATCAGTTGGTTGAACTGAGAGTAAGTTTCTGGTCTCTCTAGGTTTTTATCACTGCTCTTTCTGCTGTGATAAATAGAAAGTAGAAAAACTGGTTTTATTGTCTTGAGTGAAAATTTTAAAAAAAATCAACCTAGATCTATAAGATTGTGAACATGTACAGTTGGTGGCACAGGTTTTACACCGAGGATAGTATTTGTCTACTACCCTAATATTGTGTTTTGGTTGAACATTAGCAAGCAACAGACTCATACCTAACATAACTCTATGCATGCATTATTAATAATCACAGATGAAAGACAGAAAATCACATACAGCGATCAGGCAATAAAATAAATGGAGACATTAAAAAATCATAAAGCCTCATTCAAAATTAATGCTTCCTAACTGGGACTGCTACTGAACTAAATTTAGCTACTTTCATGATGCAATCAGTGAACCAATCTGCTAATAAAAAATGAACTACCCACACCAGGCACCTGGTAAGAAGATTTTTGAGACAGGCAGCTATAAAAGAAGGATAGTTCAGTAATACATTTATTTATGAAACAAATTTATATGACCATCCAACTCACACACAGTGAATCAGGGGGCAGTGCTTACACAGGAAAGTAACAAGATAGTAAAGTAACAAGATGGGGGCCAACCTTATCTCCAGCAGAATGATATTCCAAAGAATGGAAACTACCAGAGAAGGCCCATTTCCTTGGTCCCACAAGATGTACCTTTATACTAGATGGGACATGCAAGTTACATTGCTTTCCCACTCTGGTGGGCTGGGTAGATATAACTGGAGAGAAGTGGTCCTTCAAATAACCTGGCCCTAAGCAACTTTTTCCATTGGCAAACATGACATAAATACTGTGTATTGTCATATGTTCCGTCTAACACCACGGATGATAACAAGTCAAACTTCACTAGGGTGAAGACTCTCCTTCAAGAAACAGATATAATGTTAAATAAATGTTTAGGAGTGAAAAAGACTCTGTAAATTAGGACGCTTGTTGGTTCAAGGCCTTAAGTTTGTCACATCAAAGATTTTTTGGCTTCTATGAAAGATTTTTCAAGACCAAGCATGACCAAAGATTGAGCTGAAAAACCCAACAGGCTAAATCCTTGGCTTTCCCCTTTTTTCTACAGAGATAAATATATTGTTAAGGATGACTTAATATATCAAAAATATATTAAAATATATTGTTAAGGATGACCTATTGTTAAGGATGACCGGCCAATACGCTCTCACAGAGAGGGCCTCCTCAGGGTGCCGTCGGTCAAGCAATGTCGGCTGGTGGCCCCCAGGGGGAGGGCCTTCTCTGTGGGAGCACCCGCCCTCTGGAACGAGCTACCTCCCGGAATACGACTGATCCCGGATCTCTACACTTTCTGTAAGGCCCTGAAGACGTTTTTATTTCAGCAAGCCGGCCTGGCCTGAATAGGTTTTATGGGTTAGTTTTTTAATTGTATAGCTTGGGGTTTTAATTTGGGAGGCCGATTAATTTAATTTATTTTTAGTCATCTTAACTTTTATATTGTATGTTTTTAATTTTCAGCTGTTCACCGCCCTCAGTCCCTTCGGGGAGAAGGGCAGTATATAAATTCAATAAATAATAATAATAATAATGACTCGAACAAGAGACTTACCCCAAAAAATTAGTTTTAGCCAGATTTTTCAATGCAAATTCTCACACAATCTTTATCAGATATAAAGCAATGAAATATGTCAAGCATACAACAAAGCACGCAGCGCATGGCTTATTTAAAAAAAACTTGAATTACATTCAATATGTTTAAATCATAAGTGGAAAATTAATGGCACTCAAACAAAACAGCCTAAAGTTTAAATACTTGGGAATCTTCCAGTCTTTTATAATGTGGAAATAACAACCTCAAGACATTTAGTCCATACCGGAAAGCTTTGAATACTGTAATGAATTTTGCCAAATGTAATAGATACACTTTTTCAACTACCATCAAGTTATTTAGAGCAAAGATGCCACTTCTCTTGCTGTATTACAGTATAGTACATGATTGGATGCTAATTTTCAAAGAACTAAATATCCAGATTTATTCTCTGTAAATATAGTCCTTCTTTCCATATCCTGTCATAAAGAGATATGTGTTACATACTATACCATACACTATCATTTCATTTACTGCTGTCTAAAAGTAAAATTTAAAAATTACCTTGGGAAAGCAGGAAAGTGCAAAGTGACTCAAAATGTATGAGGTTCATGAAGACCATACTGAAAAGGGAAAAGATATGTGTTACTATAAGTATTCTGTAAGCTGCCTTGAGTCGCCTTGTGAGAATAGGCGGCAATATAAATTCCCTGCAAAAAAAAAAAAAAGTATGAACCCATTTTTTACTGTTTTTTATTTCTCATACTTTAATATCAAAGCAAATCTGTATTACAGTCACTGTCTAGTATAAAGAGAGTGGGGAGTTTAATATCCATTTGGTGAAGAATTTAAGCCTTCAATTCGAAATGAGATTTTAGCAGAAACATTTAAACACAACAAAAGATGGTAGAGAAGAATGTTAATAATAAATGAAACATTTTCAAAGGCTGATTTCTTACAGAGATTTTATAACAGGAAGCAAAGTGTAGCTTTTGGAAAATACTACAAGGAGGCATCCTGACGGTGTATTGATGATTAAAAAAACTCAATGCCAAGCATATGGTAAAGTCCTGGTGATACAGAAAGTCACACGAGGATCAGTCAGTGAGAAGATGAGAGATAAGAGACGTAAAGAGAGAAATATTTGAGTCTTTTAACATTTCCAGTTGCATCTGTCAACTACATGTAAAATATAGGATTTGAGAAGTTGAGACATTCTCACAACCACATTAGTATTTTTTACTCCTAACTTTGAGGCAACTGGGCATAAATTGTGCTTTCCCACAGTCTACGTTTACTACAGATCAGGAACAAGCTCAGAAAGAATTGGTGCCTTTACACAATTTAATGTGGGATGGCTTTTTTTCTTTCACACAGCATCATCTACCAGCAAGAAAATCAACTACCAATTGTTCTACTGAATATGAGTGGGTTGTAGTTGGGGAACTCTGGGTTTCTCCTCCCAGAGTATACAGCCTTATTTATCTGGTTGCTTGCTTGCTTGCTATAAAATTATTAACCTCTTCTAAGATCAATAGTTCATCATTTGGAGAGAGGGAACAAAAAACTAAGCTACAACTTAGGCTAATCAATAATTATGTAGCACTCTTCTCCAGTTCAGAAGCTAATTCGGGAAACAACTGAAGTCATTAACCATCTTGATGGAAAAGATATTTGTCAACCTTAGGCATTTCTGCAGACAGTAGAAGTCTGTCTAAAACAGGGGTGTCAAATACAATTTCATTGAGGGCCACATCAGGGTTTTGTTTGACCTCGGGTGGGGGAGGCCTGGCTAGGATGGGTGTGGCCAGCTGGACATCACTTGTGTCAGGGCCACCTGTGGTGGCCAAGTGCTAAGGCAGGACTTCCCTTAGACCTTCTCTCACACTCATTATAATCTCCTTCCTTCCTTCCTTCCTTCCTTCCTTCCTTCCTTCCTTCCTTCCTTCCTTCCTTCTTCTTTCCCTCTTAATTCTCCTTTCTTCTTCCTTCCTATCTTTCCTTATTTTTCGTTATTTGCTATCTTCTCCAGGCTCCATTTTCGCTGGCAGAGGGCTGCAGGAGACCATCGCAGCTGAAAACGGGGCCCAGGGGGAACATGTGCGGATCTCCCAAGCTCCATTTTTGCTGGCAGAGGCACCGCAGGCCACCTCTTTGCTGTTTCAAGGGTGGCACCACAGGCCAGATCTAAGCACTCCGTGGGCCAGAGCCTTGAGTTTGACACCCCTGGTCTAAAGAGATAGAGTCATTGTTGGTTGGACAACTTTTCAGTTGGAAGTTTCTGGGCGGTTTGTAAAAAGTGGAAAAGACCAAACAATCATTAGAAGTATAATCAAGCATTCTGTAAGAACATTCATTACTCTTTTTTGTCCAATAATAATTAAGACTTGATTTCTCTTCAAGTTTATCCTCTTTGCCCAGTTTTTGAGCTTCAGAGTGAAAAGAGAATGTTCAACACTACATTTAATTCCTTCTAAACAGATAAAAGGCACATACTCCTTCATAAAAAACACTTTCCAAACCTATTCCTTTTCTACAACTCAGGAAAGACTTAGGAAGATCATAGCAGATGCTTGCTGCCCAACCACCTTCACCAGCTAGGCTATTTCAATGGCCTGCATAATAGCCCGTTGATTCCTTCAGCCAAGTCCAGAGGGAAAGCCAGCATGAGTTAAGGTGTTTTGCCTATAAAAAGAACCAGTTTCACTTAGCAGAGCTCCCTTCCCACTGCCAGTTGTACCTGATGCAGCAGAAATAAAGTCAGGTTGTTACGTATTGCTGGATTAAAAGTATCTGTTTGTGCTATTTCTAAAGTATACATATTTATATTTACATAGAAGGAGCTCTGCAAGAAGGAACTTGAAAAATCCTTCATTTCACAACACAATATATAAACTGTTGCTGGGAGGACAAAGGTACTTATCTTGAGTTATGTGACAGAAAGGCATTTATATCCCACAATTTAGCACAGCTACCACACACAAATGGTACTGAATTTAAGCCCCCGTCCTCAGATGCACTGAAGTAAAATTTTCATCTTCCTAGCAGCTGAAAAGGCTCAGCATCATGAGGTTTATAGTCTAACGGTTAACCCATGGGTGTGTGTGTGTGGGAGGGGGGGGGAGGTACCAGATTAGTGAATGAAGTTATATTCTCATCAAATGTAGAGTTTATAGAAACGTTCTATTAACCATTTTCTTTGCATTGCATCATTAACTGCTTTGGGATTGTATAACTGACAAGCAATATAAACTTGTTATGAATAAATAATCCATCTACCCACAGTACATGCATTTGTCTCAGAGGTATTAAGAAATACTTTCTTTTCTTCCCACAATAGAACAGAAAAAGTACTGGCACTGGCTCCATAATTCACCATACAAAAAGCAGTGAGCAGCTGTTCTTCTCTGAAAGGTTCTGCTGTGATGTTAGCTACTGTAAGACCGATCTCAAGAGAACAACATTTTTCTAAAGTGGGGAGCCATATACAAAGACATTTGTTTAAATATAACTCTAGTAATTTATAGAAACCTTTATGTGTACATCTCTATAGTCTCCTGAGCCAAGCATTGGCATTGTATCGATGGAGAAGTGACTGTAAAGTCAGAGTGATGTACCGTCACATTATGACAGTGTTTCTCAACCTTGACAACTTTAAAATGAGAGAACTTTACTTCCCAGAATTCCCTAACCAACTAATACTGGTGGAGAATTCTGGGAGTTGAAGTCAACATATCTTAAAGTTGCCAAGGTTGAGAAACACTGCATTATGACATAAAGTTATAATGAAGTACTGTACTGTCACATTAGGGCTTGACGGTGCAGCTCTTGCTTCTTGTGGTTTCAGATGGTATTCTCTTTGCAATGTCTCTGTATGTCTTTGTAAGAGATACACATAGGTCATGATTAAATCTGTTAAATTCGTTATTTTTGGCAAACCAAAAACAGAAGAGTCTGATTTTCTCATTATTTATTTTCTCATATTTGCATACCACCTATTCAGGCAGTGTTCAGTGGCAACTAATTTGATTAATAAAAAAAAATAAATTAACTGATGACCTATAAATAGGAAAACATGAATCAGTTAAAAAAAATGATTTGTGTTTCCTTATTTATAGCTCATCGGTCTGTGAAGAAAGCAAACACCACGTCGTATAATTTGTAGGAAATGTTCTCCTTGACAACATCTGGCTCCTGCTATTGCCCAATGAGCCATTGCTAAGCTAATGATGGGAATCATTAACAAAATTCCTGGATTTTTTAATCCCATCAAAGTAAGGCACTTGGTTGGAAGGATCCATTAGCAATTACATAGCTGGCAGATCTCCATTTCCACTGCAGAAGGTCTGTGGGCACAGCACCTATGCTACAGGGTACAGCCTGAAGTTTTACCAGAGGTAGAGTAATAGGTAGACTGTTGGTGCACATTGTACAGTCTGAGAATCAGTCTGAGGTCACGTATTATTGCTTTTTAAATACATGAGTTACTTATAAACCTGTTCGTGCTGCTCTAAATAGCAGTGACATTTTCTAATAAACACGCCTTTATCTAGCTGGCAAGCACCCAAGTTTATTCTAGCAAAAACTTTCCATTTCCATTTAAATTGTGCATGGAAACTATCATCTTGTGACCAAGAAATAAGGCTGCTATGATTCAGAGGTGAACTTTGGTGAATAGTTTGGAGCTGGGTGCTATGCCATTTATCATGCCCCGCCATCAATATTCAGGGCTTCATTTTTTGCTTTTAGATGTAGCAAGTTTTAGTAATTCATCCTGAGATGGAAGATATAATATGTCTATGGATGGATATTTCTTGATGACAACAGAGTAGTTTCAAATACAGACATTCCTACAATACAGTAATAATAGCTATAACATAGATAAACAGAAGAGAAGTGAAGCTTGTAGTAAATCAAACATCACAGCTAGCAGATGTAGGCCTTGTCAAAGTGTTGCTATTAAATCAAAAGGGTTATTCTTTTAGTGATTGAGGACATCAGTTATTTTATTTTTTTTGGCAGAATGAGAGAATGGTCAGGACAGAATGAAAAGGGGGGGATGGAGGGAAGATTTTTTGGAAATAATTGTATAGCATTGACTCTGGTTCTGTTTAAAACTGTTTTAACCCTACCATAAGGCTTAGTTTTCAGGCATTAAATGCATATCTCAAAAGACATAATATATGAACCCAAGATACTTGTTTAGACCTCACTAGGACATATGTTCCTTAAAAAAAAAAAGATTCAAATGTAAAACAAATAAAAGCTTACCAGTGTAAATGGAAAGCCTAATTGTATATTGAAGCAAAGCATACCTAATATTTGGCTATCTGTTCTCTCTACCACTTCCCGTACCCAATTACTCTTTAGAAACAATGTCCAGATTTACACAGGACAATGGCTGTTGTAAGTAAGCCTGTATGTCATGCTAGACCAGGGGTAGGATATGGTTGGATATGGTTGGATCCGGCCTGCGGGGCTGTCCTGGTTTACTCAATGCGAAGAGGAAAGTTTGGGCCAGTATGGCTTCGGTGCGGTCTACCCAGTGCAAAGGGGAAATATCTGGCTACCACAGCTTTGACCTGGTCTACCCTGTGCAAAGACGAAAGATCAGGCCAGCGTAGCTTCGGCCTGGTCTACTCAATGCGAAGAGGAAAGATCAGGCCAGTGTGGCTTCAACCCAGTCTACCCAATGCAAAGAGGAAACATGCCAGCAGTTTGGGGTGTGGCATCGAGCTGGCTATGTCCACCCAGTTGGCCACAACTACCCAGTAGGCCATGCCTGAACAGCACCCCAAGGTCAACCACAGCCCTGATGCAACCCTCAATGAAATTGAGTTTGGCACCCCTGTACTAGATTTTCAATCCACCTTCCTAGGAGTAAGCAATTGCTTTTTGTTTGTATACTTAGTCAGAAACCAAGCATTTCCGTCTACTAGATACAGAAAAAGTTTGGTATTTTTATAATGAGCAGAAAAATATGTGGAAAGAGGATGAGAAATAAATGGAAAACTAAGACAGCTCCACAATATCAACTGCAGTGAAGAACAAACACCTGGTGAGTAGACCGGCTCTTTAAATCTCTTCGGATAAAGAGGGAAGGGGTGAGCACCTATAAGTGCTTCAGTCAGCTGCTCTTCCTGAGGAGACAGGCAGGTTTTGAGCACTGAAAGATAAAAGAACAGACATCTTGCTCAAATTGCAGTCAATGCCTTTAAAAAGACACTATGTTTCCATACTTTCTTTTCTAATCACATTTGGAAATTACATAGTTTTAAAGAATACTTCCCACGGGAAAGTCGACTTGTTTTGAATTTTTTTCTAAGACATACAAGATATAAAAAAAATTGTAAAAATTGGATTCTGACTTCTGCTAACGAAAATGGCAGTTTAATTATCTTTGAAGTTAGACAGTATTGCAAATTTTTCACCTCCAATTTACTCAGGAAGGAGGCTTTTTCTTCCTTCAGATTTAAGGAGAAACCCTGAAATTAACCCATCTGACCTCTGAACTGTCATTCATTGCAAGCAACTCACAGAAATAGAGATTTCCCCAATGAGCTGGTTTGAGTGAGTGACAAGGAGGCTGGATCTTCCATCAAGTGCACAGCCATGGCGCAGACTAAATTTATGGACACTAAAACTGACTTTCATTTCTAATATACTTTTTGGAGTATAATTTCAATCATTTCAATTAAAGTGAGGCTTTCTTCAGATAGGGATAGATCTTTTTCTTTGGCAATTTTCATGATTTCTGGGGCTATAATATTTTGAAACTGCTGAGATGTTTGCTGATTTTTGCTTACCTCACAAAAAAATTGACAACTAAAGAGATTGACTTATCTGATTATGTTTAAATAATGACATTTTGATGATATTGAATGGATAATGGGATAAAAGTGTAGTTTTTGATATCTAAATAAGGGTGATTTTTTTGGTTATATTTAACAGTTTTTAATTTCTTTTTTTTAATTGTTTAATTGTTAAGAGCATGACTTCTGAGGAAAGTTTTGGGATCTCCCACCTTCCACTCTGTGGATATAAGCAATCACTATACTAAGTTCATCAGAAGTTGCCCAGTGATCCAGTATGCTTTCTGCTTATTTTAGGTGACTTTCTGAAGCTGAAGAAACAGTGAGACAATTAGATTGGATTTTATGGAATATGGGTTGGGGAACAAAGTTTATCTAATGCTTTGTTGTCTTTTAGAAATGCACTGATAATCAAAGGCATTGAAGGTCCCAGCAAAACTGTGAGAATCAAAAATCTCAACTAATCAGCAACAAAGGACAGTATGAATCCAGTAAGACACCAACACATATTCCGTTTCAGGAGAGTGAAATATTACCAATTAAAAGGAAATGGAAAGATTTAGTCGTGATATCCTCCAGCTCTGATGTTTGATCAAAACATGTGACTCTGAAAATGTACCAAATAAGAACAATTGCGCCTGAAGCATTGGAAGCAAATCTATTTAATTAATCAAGGAGCTTTTTTAAATGGAGATGCCAAGTTTATGTCTTGAAAGTTCATTACACATAACACATTCAAAATGATTTTATTCATTACAGCATATATTTCTAAAAAAGGCAACCATATAAATGTCACCCTCTTGCAGCAGGATGGAACTGTGGAGTCCTTGGTTCCCTCTTGCTTGTTTTCTTGCAAACATTTCATTACCCAATTAGATAACATCATCAGGGTAAGAAGAGAGTAGGGTTTGCTCTGTGTTTATATACAGTGGAGTGATTTGTTGCTTTCTGCATTTTTAACAATATCCCCATCTAGTTTACAACCTTGGGATATTCTCATGGTTTTCTATCTAAATACTATTCAGGTGGAAAGGTGCTCACCTTGTTCAAGGTTAGCCAAGACTGCTAGATGCTATTTCCTATAGTAACAATGAAGATAGGATTGCATTGTTCAATGCTAAAAACAAAACAAAACAAAACAAAGTGTCACCATATCATCAGAATTATCATCATACAAAAGTTTTAAAAAGTTCATTGGGAAATGTCAAAATAGGTACCATTTTGATTCATTGCAATGTCATTTTTATGGAAAAATCTTTGAATAAAAAATGGCTCAAAAACAATAGGTATAGACACTTCTATTTCCATGAAAATACCAGAGTACACTAAGTATTATCGTTTTAGAAAGGAAGAGTGTTTTGTCTTGAATGTATATCAGCTGTTATGAAAAGCTGATGCTAACAAGTAGTACAGGCTAGAATCCAAACACTTATTCTTATTTATTCAAACTCTTTTGGCTAAAGGCAAGAGACTTATTTAAGCATTCTGCTGCAAATAGATATATCAGTTAGTATAATCATAAACTCTAGAGGGAGAAATGAATCAGGCCGGCTTAGTTTTGTTTTGGTTGACATATTCTAACCTTCAAAAGTCAAGTTTATATGGTTCAGACAGAATTATTCTAGGATTAATCTCCAATGCCAGAGCAATTTTGTAATGCTCTGTCCCAGACTGTCTTGAGCTGCAAGCACATGTCATTAATTCCATAGTCTTCCAATAAGATCTAGTTTTGCCCATATACGTAATACTTAACATGCTCAACATAATCATTATACTATAATTGGAAACATATGAATGTGGCGTAAAAGTTTTCTCATCATCAAAAACTCCTCCCAAGAGATGAAAAGGAGACAATTCTTGATATTTTTAACAATATTTGCTTCCACAGGTTAATTATTAAGGCAGGTAATGTCAAATGGTGATAAACCGATATTCACTGTGTGAGAAGATAAATAAGGGATGCAGATAAACTATGAAAACAGAAAACAAAATGCAGTGTGATTTCAAGCATTTAAAAGGAAATGTTTTATTATATTTAGTCAGATAATATACATTAGTTTGCCTATTAATATCACCAACCTGATGTTCTATAGGTGTATCCCAAAATTTTCAAAAGCCCTGGAAATTTACAGAACAACATATTAACCTAATTTAAGACTCACGGATATGTAAACCATTTTAATCTCAACATGAAAGTATTGTTTTGACTCTTGTGAACCTGAAACCAAACACATGTATTTTGAGAGTGTGAAAGAGAGCAAATGTTTTGTCCTTAGCTATTTCAAGATCTGTACAGAAGTTCTGACTGTTCCAAACACTATGATTGTTTTTTTTTTACTTGCACCTGGGCTGTTTTTGTTTCAAACTCTCCTAATTCTAGCCAGTACAACAGCAGAGAACAATTACCTTCCTGTGGATTAGAAGAGGGAAGTCTAGGGCCATGGCCAACTCACCATAGCCAACTCACCATGACCAACTTGCCATGGGACAATTCAATGCTGTATTAATCTTTTCGTTTAGTTACTTTTATTATTGGTAACTGTATTTTCATCAAAATTATTGTAACTCATGTATTTCTGGATTGGCTTTTCTTATTCTATTATTGGAATTAGTTCCATTGAAATAATTCAAGTTTTGTATTTGTTGAGTTGTCCTGAGGCAAGTTGTCCCATTCCGGAAATGTGATGGGGGTATGTAGGGTTCAGTAAAAAGAAACAATTAACCATGTGGCCCAACAAAAGAAGGCTGCTTTCAACTGTATGCTTACAGTTTGCCTGGTTACTAATGTTTTTTTTAAAACAAAAAAAAATAATATTGCTATGATGAAGTTAGAGTTCAGTAAGGTAGGTTGGTGAGATACATGGGTATTTTCTTGTCCTCCATTTTAAGGCAAAGGAGCGCATACACTTGCTTTACACAGAAGTGGTGCAGGAGAAGTTGGATAAAACTCAAGAATTCTAGCACAACATTGATTTGACTTGTCAAACCACATTAAATGTGTATAATTTTAATGTTCATTTATTAATGCAATTAAGGAGCACTGATAGCCTTTCTTTTTTCTTGTCTTTTCTTTCTTTTTGGTAAGGAGTAATTCATCTGATTTGCAAACAAGAATAAACAGTGTAGTTGATATCCACTAATTGAAAGGAATACAAGAGTTTGGTCACTCTCTTTGTACTGCAATCTGCTGCACAACTAATTCAGAGAGCTTATTTAAGGAAATTCTAAGAAAGTCTATTAGTTATTTATGCTGAGGGATGGCTTGTTTTTTTGTGTGAGTGTGGTTTTTTTGGAAATGCTAATACAAAGAAAATTTTCATTTAGTAAATTGTGTTCATTTTATTTCCTATGTTGATTTATTTTTATGTTTTCAGAAATGGTTTTAAAATTATGCTCTGAGCCTTTTTTTTTTTTTTTTTTTTTTGCATTTTAAGTGTTAGGTAACATTCAGTATGGAGTCCATCCTATTATCGTTATAGTCTTGGAATGGAAAACACAGAAATAGCAGCTGATAGCAAGATCTTATTGTTTCCTGCATTCTAATCATAGTATTAAGGAGGGGTGCAGGCCTGGCTAAATGGTACATTGTATGGGCCTGGATTATGGCACACTGATGAAATTACACAGGTACTAGAGATAACATAGTAATACACCGTGTTCCTTAATAAGGACAATTACAAATCAATATGCACCAAGCCAATTTCACAAAAAGTCCAACATATTGGCTTTTCCAGGGAGTCTTCTTAATGATTGGCTATGAACTGGCATAGCATATCAAAGACCCGTGTATGGAACTCCAACTTGACTAGTCTGCTCTGCCAAAGTTTATTCTTTTGCTCAGTTAAGCCCCTTTTACAAACAAGTGAGATACTTACATAATGTAAGGATTTCCAAATTGTGAAGAGCATTAAATTTAGCATGCTTCAACACTTTCTCCCACAGCAGTTTTGGGAGGCCAATCTAAGAGTTTCGCTATAAGATTGTGTCTGTGCAGAGGAGACATTGAAATTACAGCTCATGTCCTGTTATACTGTACCCTTTAGAACAGTGGTTCTCAACCTGTGGGTCGCGACCCCTTTGGGGGTCGAATGATCCTTTCACGGGGTCACCTAAGATCATCGGAAAACACATATTTTCCATGGTTTTAGGAATAATTTTATGGTTGGGGGTCATCACAACATCAGGAACTGTATTAAAGGGCCGCGGCATTAGGAGGGTTGAGAAACACTACTTTAGAAGGATCCAAACACTTGCCTTGTAACTCTTTACTTGCTAAAACAAGTAACGACTGGAAAATTCTGATCTTTTTTATGTAGTTATCAAACCAATACAATTCACTCTCCTTGAACACAGCTGCATTTTGTCATGCTATTTGTAAAATTGGACACACTTTGATCACCCATCGATGAACCCACTACAATTTTACTTTTAAGTAATTTTACTTTTAACTACCCACTACTTTTAACTCTGTTCGATTTATTTAAATTTTTTAATATGCTTCTATTTGTAATTCTGATCTGTAGCCATTATAAAAATTATATTCTATTCTTGTTTTCTCTGATTGGAATATTCAAAACATTTTGTTTTGACAAAACAGAGAATGCTTAGACATTTTAAAATGTGTTCCTATGGTACATATCATTTTGCAGAACATTTCAGAAGAATATTTTGACAAGGCTGTTTTGAGTTCTGAACATGTATGTATGTTTCTGCTTCCTATCTACCCTTCTAAAGCATTCATTTAAAATAATTCTATTGAGAAGGTACAACATTTTGAAAAGATCAGTATTTTTAATGCACATTTAAATTGGAATGACATGAAACCATACCAACATTTTTAATTAGCTTAAATAGCACACACGTCTAGGTCTATATAATATTAAGTCATAAAATGATTTGTTTGGATTTTATCACTTTAATATGTTTCTTTTAAAATGCTAAGTTTGTAGATCATGCTAAGACATATGATCTTATCCAGTTTTAGATAATCTAATGATATCATATTAGTCATATTAAAGCATAATTTATGATTTACCACAGCTTATTATCTGAGTCTAATCATATTATGTTCTAGTTAATAAACCATGGTTAAAATAAACTAACTGAGTGTATGAATCCAATTACAGGAACCTGTTTTTGAAATAGTAACAGACATTATGAAAATAGAAATGCTGAGGAATATTAAAGTAAGGGAAGATTCATATAACCATGCATATAACCATCCACCAACAGACAGATGTCCTTTATTTGCTCTCTTGAATGCAACACAGCTCGCGTTTTAAACAGCTGTTTGCACACTAGCAAACGAATTCATGCAAACCCACATTAAAGAATTCAGATCTTGCTGTTAAAATGGGGCTCTGTGCTTCTCTATAGTGCCAAAATGGTCAATTATTGGTATGCAATTGCTCTTTGAAATAAGATATCCACATATTTAACAACAGTAATAGAACCCCTTTTTGTGCATAATTTGCTAGTAAAGAATGTTTAATAGGTTAGTACAGGAATGTCAAATTCATGGCACACGGGCTGGATGCATCACGTGATGGCCACGTGCCCACCCCCTTTTTAGTGAAGGGGGAAAAAGTATCAATATCATATGATGACGATGTGACGATGTGAGTTTGATACCCCTGGATTAGTATTCAGTAGTGAGTTTCAAATCCCAGCGCTACTGGTTTGCTATTGGTAGCGCGTGGCGTGTGCGCTTGCTTTGCAAACGTGCGGCGCTTCTGCTCATGCATAGAGCGTTTTGATGACATCTGGGCGGAGCTTCCCTACTGGTTTGCTTGAACCGGGGCGAACCAGGAGCAACCCACCAATGTTAGTATTATGCATTACTGAGCTTAGAATGATGGTTCAGTAAATAATTGCTAAAATATACCCTGACTTACCATAATATGTAGTCCCATTTATTCTTGCATGACTTATCTTTAAATGGATTATTCTTGATTCAGTTATTTAATGTATAAAAAATGGTTCAGGCCAAACATAAACAGAAAAATGTTCTTTAAGATGAAAAGCTAGCAATTCAAATGTACTCATATTTCTTCACCTAATAAGTTATGGTAAGAGAAAGGTGGGAAGAACTGGGGAAAACATTAGAGGGTAACAAATGGAAGATAGCATTGACATTTCACATGTAAGAGAGGGTGACTGAAAAATAAAAGCTTCTTCTGGTTTCATCTCACATATTAAAATATAACAATGAATTAACAATTGAATAGATAAATTTGTTCTCCTTCACCTTTACATAAGGGCAGGTGACTAACTGAATTAGTTCAGTTTGTCATATGAACAACTGACTGGCATATTTTTGCTACAGCTCCTCAAATAGTCCTATGGAAAATATATGAGGTTCTTCTTCATTCTGCTGTCTACAGTTCCCGAGGCTGAAATGTACAGCTGTGAGGCTACCTATAGCTCCTGGCTATGACCAAGAAATTGCAAAAAATTATGGTCAGATTATAACTTTTCTTCTAACATTATTAAATAAGTAATTACACAAGAACTGCACTATGTTTAATTTCACTTAGTTTGAAATCTAAATGAGATAGCATTTTAGTTGTCCATCTCGATCCCAACCACTATCTCCCAAGGTACCATTCTAGCTTGCCATTCAAAAGTCAGTTATGATCCTTAGTCCAGGAAGTTGCACATCTTTGCTTGAAGTGAAATGATTTAAGATGAACCTGAAATTATGGGCATGTCAGGCATCTATTCTAACATTCCCTTTTGCACAAAGCTTTTTATTTTTGTCTAACCTTTCAGACCTGGTATGATTCAACAAGAAAAGTGGCTGTGTTGCTTCAGGCTGTATTAGGAAACTTTAGCAAAGCAGATGAGCTCACATAAGTGATAAGATCAGGCAATGATTACATGTATGGTAAAGCATCTATTTTATTAAGGTCTTAAGCATATACAGTACATCGTTCTTCTTCGGTAGTTGGCATAGCTCCCCTAACATGCAATTGAGAAAGAGACAGCTATCTTCTCAATGTGCTGTACAGAGAGAGAGAGGAAACTGGGACAGTGCTCCTCACAGCTTGAGTGCAAACAAATCCTCTCCAACTTCTGAATTATTGGTACAAAAAAGAAACTTGGAACTCACTTTCAAGTTGTTATTGCCATTTGTATATACAATTTTGTGCTTTTGAACTTTTTGAGTGTTCGAAAACAGTTCTCAAAAATATGTGGCTAGTTATGTCTGCTTATTTAAGAAGAAAGTCAAAAGTCACAGTTAGTTAATACTCAAAATAAAAATCCAAGTTCTCTAAAATTCTCTCTATGCTGAACAGTCTACATATGAACATTTTATATAGGTACATACACATACAAATACAAGGGAATAATAAAACATGTTGGAATTGGCACAACTAGGCTTTAGGTTCCAACATAATCCCTCAATTTTTCTCTCTTTTTGTTTCATTTAATATGTAGTCTGAAAATGACTTCTGGTTTAAAAAATGAGAACTCTGACAATCTTAGTTTAGCAAGGTTCATATGGAAAAAATATATTTGTCATATGATCTGGACAGCCAATGTGCAACAAGATTCAGTTTATAACTATTCCAGTCACAAGAATTAAAAGAGACAAAATTTAGTTTGGGGTCAGGGTAGGGAGAAAATTTAGCAAACTGTTGGCACACAATTCATTTAGGTCACCAACAATCATAAGCCCTTTTCAACCTGATGTACAGGACTACAACTCCCACACTAAATTGAGAATGATGGGGTGTGTGGCCCAATACTTCTGGGATTGTGGGGTTATGCAAACTTGCACCAGGCACTTGCTTCCAAAATATTACAAATTGCATTTTCCAGGATTAAAATGCAAGGATACCAAACTGGTTTAATAACAGTGCTGTTTAATTCAAACCCTCTGTGTGCAGGACAGCTTTTCCAAATATTGGAAATATGGGCAGCGAGAGGAAATAAAGAAAATAATTTCTTCTTCATCGCTGCCCGTACTGCAAAATCGAGCCCCCCGGAAAGCATTTTGATTCATAATCGGATTACCGTAAAATCTGCCAAATGCCTCCCTCCCCCAAACCCTCAATTTCCACTGATCTCTACACTACACCGAGAGGAGCGGAGGGAGCTATGTGGGTCGCTCGCCCTATTCTAGGAGGCTGTTTTAAGCCTTCGCGCAAGGCTCCCTTCTTCGGATCGGAACGATCACCCGCGCAGCAACTTTTCGGCTCTCGAGCCTTCATCCGCCGCTGTTGTTGTTTGCAAGGACCAACTGATGAAAGGGGTTGAAACTTACCTGCGCCCTCGTTTCCAGAAACTCATTGGCTGAAAGTAGAGCGCATCATGCAAAATAAACTTGCCGGGGCGGGGGGGGGGGATCGAAGCGCTGTCCACGCTGAGAATCGGGGTTTCCCTTACACCGATCCCCTCTGCTTTCTTTTTTCTGAACAAGGGACCGCTAGACTCTGGGCAACGTTTATTTGCCGCAATAAAACAGTCCCCGGGACAGATGGTTATACTCTCCTGCTAGGCACGCTGAGAACTGCTGCTGTATTCCCTTCTGCAGCACTCTTAAAACTCTTCTACAGCCCCGGATCAAGAGGCTGCAGCAAAGATAACTTTCTGCACAAACTTGCACCAAAGCGCGGAAGGTCTTGCGCAGAAGTCAGAGGGGTGTTTCCCTGTTTCTCTTCCAAGGGCCCGTTGGGTCATGTTGGACAGGCTGAGTAGGAAGAACTTTAGGACTTTACGCCTCCGCCTCTTCGGAAAGGCGGCAGGTGCCAAAGAAATTCGGGAGTCGGCACTATAGGTGTGTACCTTTAAGGGGAGGAATGCAGGGCAGGAATGCCAGCAACCGATTACACACTGGGGTCAAAGAGACAGGCAACCCTTCCTGCTCTCCCCTTTCAGCCAGGTGGGTGAAGTTGTGGCATATCCTAGCTGCATCTTGTTTAAATGGTTACTGAAATCCTCAAGACACAGTGACTTATTTTATACATTCCCTTATTTTCCTGCACATAATCACTATTATGTATGCCACATATATGTAGTCTCAATTCATACAACACTATGTTGTAATTTCCTGAGTTGTGGTTCATTGAGAAGTTAATGGATCAAGCAGTTAAATGGGGATGTTTTGTACTTGTCTTGCAAGGTTTTCTAAATGTAATCATATATTTAGCTATCTGGTAGTATTTCCTGTCTGGTTTACCTGCAAAGACTGACACCAGTCTTTCAAGTCTGAAAGTACAAAACTTCCCACAAACACTTATCTGCTTGATTCCTTAGGGTAGGTCCTTCTGAAGTTTCTTTCTCTGACCATTAAGCCACAGACCAGAGGCAGAAAGTTCCTACTTCTCATCTGATTGTTTCCTAGGCAGCATCTCTTCCCCTTTCCCTAAGATCATTCCCACATGCCACTACAGAAACTGAAATCTTGACCAATCCAAACTATATTTGAGATACACCAGGAAAATATGAGACAAGCAGTAGAGTAGCAAGCCATCTGCAACATGCAGAGAAACACATCGGTTATCTCTTAAATTGTAAAATATGATAGAAGAGATTTATGATCAGTGGTGATAGTCTTGGTAAGCAAAAATGGATCCCTGTTTTGTTTAACAATCTGGATCCTGAGAATCCTGAATCAATTTTAATGGCTCAAACCATTTCGCTGTAGACCTTAAAATATTTTATCTGGCAGGAAATGCAGATCAAGGATTGGGACTTTTTCGCAACATTCATATTAATCTGATGGGAAATCTTTTCTCACAATAGCAAGAGGACTCTACGGGTAGTCCTTGACTGTCCCACAGGTGCTTTTTTCAAGCGGCAACTGGACTTTCTGGTTTTTTTGCTTCTCATCCAAGAAGCTTCTTCAGCTTTGACTGGATGATCGGGAATGCAAGGATATATCCTTCCATATAAATCCAGGATTTATATCCTTGCATTCCCCACCATCCAGTCAAAGCTGAAGAAGCTTCTTGGATGAGAAGCAAAAAAACCAGAAAGTCCAGTTGCCGCTTGTAAAAAGCACCTTTGGAACAACCATGATCTGGATGACTGAGAATCTCCAGACATTCCTTGTTTACTGATTGTCTTGTTTAGCAACTGTTCAGTGTTACTATGGTGATGAAAATGTAACTTTATGACCAATCCTTGCATTTACAACTTTTGCAAGTGTAGAAAGCAAAGGAAAACTAAAAAAATGAAAGCACTTTTACTCAAAGCACTTGAGTGAAGCATGAGTTCACGTTTTATGCTGTATTGTATTGCACCACTGAAATAATCTGAATCCAGTTCTCTGCTTTAATCAGTGGTAAAGATGCCTAATACTTTTTGTCCTTCTCAAGATCTAACACCATCAATTTTTTTTGCTGCAACCTACGTCCAGGAGGAAAGGGAAATGTGGACATAGCTGTGGTCAGTAAAGCAGTATTTTAGGACCGACCTAATAACTGTCTGTTTCCTTAAAGATCTGGTTATATATTTGGAAAATTTATATTGCTGCCTACTCGCTCTCAGAAACTTACAGGAAATAAAAACACAACATAAAAGAAATAAAAATAAAATAACTCCCCTCCCCCCCACCAGTGATAACACACATTCATACCAGCCATTTAATGGGCTCTATCCCACTCTGGGTTTCCCAGGTCTGCTGGCAGAATCCTGTCTTCAGGGCCTTCCGAAAGAGTGTCAGAGTGGGCCAGTCTAATTTCCAGAGGGATGATGTTCCAGAGGGAGGGAGCCACCACAGAGAAGGCCCTTCTGGGTTCTAGTAAATAATGTAGTAATGTCTAGGAAAATCTCCTGTAATGTTTATTTTTTTCAGGGAGTTGGTGTTCAGCTTAAGATGCAAATGACTTCATCTCAATAAGGAATGGATCCACATTCAGTTAGATATTTGAAGAAGAGCTGCATTTTAAATAGACTAAATGAAGCATGTAAATTTGCATGAATTTTAATGTTTGCAAATGTTATCTAACAGACATCCAAAAATAATGGGAAAACTGTTAAATTAAGGGTTCACTGCAGAAGAGTTTGTGCATTTTGGAGACTGGCTTTATTAGAAGCTGAGAGCAGGTATAAAATTATAATTGTTTTCAGCTCTCACTAAGTCTGTACTTGAACATGTAGATACTTTGGGAAGTAGGGGGCAAGGGCTGCAGGCATCCTTAGGCATTTGAAGAGAGGGTTTATTCTGTGTCTCACAGAAATTCGGGGTTTTTTCCTGAGGAGCACTACAAGATTATTGCAAAACACACCTTATGGACATACTAGTGTTCAGTTATGGACAGTTAACCAATTTGTTTTCTACCCCAAACATGTCTATCTGATACCTAATCTGAATGTCTAAAGCCTATGTCAATACTCTACCTAAGACTGGAGATAAATGTAGATAATGGTTTTGAAAAGCCGCTTGACTTGTATGGAGAAATTTTATTTACTATTTCTTTGGTAAATTGTTGCAACACAAAAGTCAATGCACTTTTCAGCCTTGATCTGGCTTAATAAAAGTATTGCTTTAGTATGGATTATACAGTGTTTTTATCTTGCATACATTTTAATTTTGCACAGATCTGTTCCAAGAATATAGCAACCTTTGAGAATACCATGGACTTTAGGATCCAATTACATTGTTGTAAGTCAGAGGTGTCAAACATGCGGCGTGGCGTATTGCAACTTTTTTTCCCCTTCGCTAAACCGTGGGTGTGGTCAGCACATGATGCACCCGGCCGGTGGACCATGAGTTTGACACTCTGTTCCAAGTCATAGCATTTGAAAAACTTATGGCACTCAAAACATAGTTGCTTCCAAATTATACCAGTTATTTCATGGCATCCCTTGAAAAAAAATTAGTTTTGCACTTTGGGGCCTCAAAAAATCAGCAACTTAAATTTCAATATGACAAAACAAAATGCATTAACTTTTAGTATTATTTTTTACAATATTACAATATATTACAGTATATGGTATGTACATAATTTTATTTTTCCAAGGGCTTTATAATGTCAGGAATGTTATCTTCACCAAACCGATCTTTCAGAAGAAAATAAAGAACCTGCTCAACTACTGCAACCTATAATATAGAAGAAAACCAGAAATTATAATGGAATTGTCTTGCCTCAAGCTAGTTTTTCAGTCAATTTACTGCAAACAGAGAGCACCACTAAGCATTCTAGTTCAGATTGTATTTGCTTAATGCTGCAATTTATATACTCTACTTATTCAACAAATGAGTCTCAATAACAGAATACATATTTTCTAATTATTGGTTTGGAAGCATTCTCACGCTTACTTTTGCTAATTTCATACTAGTACACTTTTTTGTTAAAATAATAGTTAATACTCCTGAAATACAGATAATTAATTTTGGATGCATAACCTTTTCTTGGGGAACGACCCTTCTAATCTATCCTCTTTATTACCTTTACAGTCAATTTCTCAAATATACTGAGAGCCTTAAGATAGTTGAAATTTCTAGTGAAATTTCAGGAACAGATTACAGTTTCATACGAGAAAATATCGACTATGCAGTGACCTCTAAAACTTCCTGTTTTTATTAATATTTTTATGCAAGTTATACATTTGAAGACTGATTACTTTTTTCGTTCAGTAAAGATTAATGTTCTGTGGATCATTTCTATGTAAACAATCTGTACTTAGAAATCAAGAGAACTAATTTCAAATTGAAACTTACTTGCTTTTTCAACTCTATACAGCAGCAATCTGCTGTCTTTGAGCATTCTAAATAAAGAAAAAATATGTTTAAATATTTATTCCACTAGTCACAAACCCAAGTGAAAATTGAAATGCACTTCCTAGTACTTGCTACCAGTTTTTGTTTAGCTATAAACAAATGTATGTCTTTCAGAAAGTATATACATAGCAGATAAATATGCATATATTTGTTTGGAAGTACTTACGATTTTCATTATTGCTGTATTTTGCCAAGTTTTCAATTATTAACTGTTCTGCTATATCCGTAACACAATTTTCACTCTTTTTTTGCACAATTACTGGATAAATATTTTGAGTAACTTCTTTCACTGTAATTATTACATGTTTATTCATTAAGAGACTTTTCAGCTTCTCTATTGCTGATATGGACCACTTTCCATCCAGTCCCATAATACCTGGAATCGAGAGAAACTACAAATATATCGTGGTTCAAAAGTTCAAAGACATTTAGTTTCAGTCAACTTTATACAGAATGGTAATGTTAGAATCATTTATAGTGGTCAACTTTATATTCAGCACCAATTAGATAAAGGAAGATATGTCTCTTTAATACCCCCCCACAGACATCAATACACTTCACTGAATCTCTGACATATCAAGAATATGTGTTGCACAGTTTAAGGACTTAGTAACT